ATCCTTTGATTTATCTTCTCCAAACTGGTCGTGTTAAAAGATTTACGTCCTATTTGCTAGCTACAAAAACTTATATTCCAAAAAAATAACAAAACTCAATAATGAATTACATTTGCGATACGGTTTCCATTCACTTTCGTTTAAAGTTGCAGTGCGCAAAAGTGAAACACCGAAAAGTAAGGAATTAGTGCATGAAATATATATCAAAATTAAGTTAAAATACCTTATAAATTAATGATGACCAAACACAGAACCAACCCCGCATATTTTTCTAAGACCTATATTTTTCAAATTTTCTCTCAGAAAGTTTTGAAATTTAAGAGATTATTATCGTTAAAGCTTCTTCGAATTAAGTTAACTACCAGGTATACATTTACCGTTTTATACAATTATACATATATATATATATATATATATAAAGGCAAACAAAACAGTTCAGTGCTATTTTCTCGTCTGTTGGTCAACCGATTTTTTTTGTTAGTAGCTATTGAAGAGCTTTAGTGTTATCAGTAAAAAAGTTTTGTAATGGTAGTGGTCGAATGGCGAGATAACTTTATTATATACGTTATTTTCTATCGAGGTTCTAGTAAAATTGATAAGAATCAATTTTACAAAAACATTAACAAATTTTTCATTATGTTTAAAATTGAATGATTTAGAACTTTACCCTACATTAAAATTCTGATCTAGAATACCTACATAGTATAAAAAAATACCTGCTCTCACTCTTATAGAATATTAGAAGACTCAAAAGAAAATTAAATTATCTTAAATTAATAAATCGTAGTGTGCTCTATTTCATTAACAATAGAATTTAAAATCAAATGGGACTTTAAAAACAAGAGCGTGCGAAACAGGCGGTCAGTTTCGGTGTAATTTACACGGTTATAGATGCCACAAAGTGCTCTGTTTCCTTACAAATTAGCATAAATTTGGTGTGATGAGAATGTTTATGTAGAGTATGAAAGATTACGGCCACTAGTTTATATGCTTTTGAGAAAGCTAAGTTTTATATGTTTTAGTATATGGTGGTACTTTGCCTAAGAACTTCTTTATTATAACCCTATTATTATACCTTTAATTGCGTCTTCTTCCTTATATATTTCTATACATAATAAATATATAAAAATAACATATAGGTATAAAAATATGCGATATATAGATTTATAAGCTATGAAAAGCTCGTTCTACTCAACTTTACTAACTTTAGATGATATAAGTATGTATTTGCTTTTCAAGGAAGTTATCAGAAATTGGTCAAAACAAATGGGACTAATTCTACGATTTAGTTTAACTTATTTCGTTCAATGTATTTTTAGTTTTAGCTTATTTCCTTGTTTTTTTAGAACATATAAATCTAAGTTAATAAATGTATTCTATTAATTTAAGTTAAAACATAATAGATAAGATAAAAAGCGCCCGCTGTGACTGACGACAGTTTAAACACTGTATTTACGTATGCACTTCGTGTGAGATAGTTTATTAAATAGTATAAAAATGACTTTAAAACGATTCTTGTTACCTTTAAAATTCTGTATGTTGCACGTCTGTAGAATATTAAATTAATAAATAAAATAACTTCAATTTATATCCTACTATGTTTTGCCCTCGGCTTCGCTCGTATTGTAAGTGTGGCATAAACAAAGATCAATAAGAACTTTATGTTCTTCCCCACGTTCCTATCGATATATTTTTATGTTATTTTATGTTGAACAAAATCTGTTCAGCTTTGACGTGAAAAGGCAAAACAGACATACAGAGCTAGTGCACATTTATTATAAAAAGAGCGCAAATAATTATTTCTCGAAGTCTCTGGACGTCCAAATTAATTGAATTGACATTTGACATGCTTTTGCACTTGATTTCGACGTATTCTTCACATATATCTAACTTTTAAATAAGTTTTAATTTTAATTTTGTTAAGTAATTCACATCATATGTTAATAGAAAATGCAATATTTCGATCGCAGGATAAATGAATTCTTTTAAGTAAAAAAAACACATATTAATATCCATAAGCGTTGGGTTTGATCTTGTAACTTATAAAATATATAATATGTTGGGACATTAACACGAGGCTTGTGTCATGGATACCAGACTGTTGATACACTACCATATATAACTTTAAATACACACATATTATAAATATAAACACCCATGACTGGAGTATAAACATTCGTCCTCATCACACAAATATGAACGCCCCCAGCGGGACTCGAATCTGCGACCACTGGCACAGTTAATAGGGTCGTTACAAACTGAGCCAAGCGTGTCGTCAAATGATTATAATTAAAGGGAGGCAGGAGGCATATCATAGATAAAGGTTTTCATGATTCTAAGTTCAACAACTTTAAATGACAAACATTTTGCAGCTGCAAACTGAGTCATTACGAGATACTAGGATTTGGTCAAAATCTTGTATAGTTTTAAATTATTTGGTAAATACCTACACAATGAATCATCAAAGTACGAGTATTGTTATGGTCAGTATCATTTTCACTGCTCACGAAACCGCAATGTTTCGATTAACTTTTAAACATTGTAGTTACATTGTAATACCTCTATGAAGGACTTATGGGAGTTCTGTTCATTCATCTGTGCATGTTTAAAATTATCTTGTCTTTTGTTTTCAAATGCTATATATCAGAACAGGTTTTATTTATATCGAGTCTTTTGATAGGCCAATAATGAACATTGCCGCCTTAAGACAAAAAGGTGATCATCACACAAAGAGCTAAAGCTAATTAAACAGCTCAAAGAATTAGTTAACTAAAGGAGCAGTCTGCCAGTCAAGCTTGTCGCAGAATCAATGACAATACAGTAAATGGGTTGACAACCCATATCGTATCATACCGAGTGGCGAGGTTTATGTCACTCGGTAATAGCGTCCAGCTAAGAGAAGCCAGGAGAAACGAGAAGAAGATATACGTGCAGTTGGCTGACAGTGATTGAACACTACGTTTTTATGGGGTGCCATGGGAGAAGCCTATGTGTGCAGAAGTGAAAGGAGGGTGTAAAGTAGTGTAAAATTGGTATAACCAAAAGACATCAAAAATAGTGTTTTAAAGATTTTCTGAATACCTTAACAGTAGTTTTTTTGCATTATTTTTTTTATATTTAAACAGATTTTTATTATAAATGGACTATAATATATAGAATATAGATACAATGCCATAGGGTCTTTCAACTTTATGATGCCATGTTGACCTCGATGGATGTCGGGCGCAATTGCTATGCGATCAGTGAACTTCGCTTCCGTACTCTATATGAGTGTGTCAGTGAAATTCTTCCTACTTTCAATTTAGAATTGATAAATATGTTGTTGTGTGGATGGAATCTTCACAGTATAAAAATGTATATAGTAAAGGATACTTTTGAGAAATAATTTGTTTAAATATATAAAACTAAATACCTACTTTCGGGTACGTTTTAACGGTTATTATGAAATAAATACCCTAATACCTATGTAGGTATAATGAGTTGTTGTGGGTTGTATTATAACGTGTTTGATGAGATAATCTCCCATCCCATCCCATATCCATGAGATAATCTCCCGCGGTAAAAAGTAGCCTATGTCACTCTCCAGTACTCCAACTATCTCCACACAATTATGCCAATCCGTCATTCCATTTCGACGTGAAAGAAGAACAAACACACAAACATACTTTCTACTTTATAATATTAGTATGGGTAGTATGTATTAGAAGTGTTTATCCAAAATAGTCAATTATCATGATATTATCACATGAACTAGACCTTAATAATGTTGTTTATCCAAACCATATGTCTAAGCGATAATACAACTTTATTACTCCGTCATACTATTTTACACTGAAGGAAGGTGCCCAGCAGTGGGACGTTAAAAAGGACTGAGTACATACATACATACACATACATACTATTTTATATGCGGGATAGACAAGGAATATCAATTAGTATTTCAAACGATTTTCTAGTTTAATAATAGATTGTATTCAGCCCTTTTTAACGTCCCACTGCTGGGCGCGGGCCTCCCTTCAGTACGAGGAGGATCAGGCCATAGTCCACCACGCTGGCCAAGTGCGGGTTGGCGGACTTCACATGTCTATTGAAAACTTTCTAGGTTCTCTCAGACATGCAGGTTTCCTCACGATGTTTTCCTTCACCGTTAAGACAAGTGGTAATCATGTTGGAAATGATTCGCATATGAAAATATCAGAGGTCCGAGACCCGGGATTTGAACCCGCTTCACTCGATTTCCCAAGCGAGCGCTTTACCACTGGGCTACCACTGCCTTTAATAATAGATAAAGCGTATAAAATGGCCATTTGAAAACTTGTATCGTATAGAAAATAACTCGTTGAAACTCGAACGGACGAATTAAATATAACGTGTTATTTAATATTTTTGAAACGTGCGATGGCTACCACACGTATAATAAGTATAATATTAATGACATATACCAGAGTGAGGTATCTTGGTGGAGGGTAGTCAAAAATTATTTTGACTGCTCTAAATATCCGTGGATGGCTGACGCGTGGGGGTAGGTACAAACTGTAAATTAAATCGCAAAGAATGAAGCTGCGAAATATAATATAAACAGAGAGTCATAGAACTAAACATGAAGCCAAACAATAATGTTTTAAAATAATATACAAATAAGAATTTGTATGCTAAGTGATAAGTAAATAAATGTTAATAAATAAAAATAGCTAACGTATTTTATTATAATAAAGAAAAAATATAGATTAGTATGAGGAACTTTGGTTCTACGTAGATTTTCAACCCATATTCTATGTTCCATTCATGATTTTCAAGTGAAAAAATATAAATTATGGGATAGGGTGGCATTTAATAAGAAGTATCAACCTACTAATCTTGATACGTGCTAGGCAGTGTGACAGTGGGTTGACGGATACGATGGACGCATACACAACATTGACACGAATACCATATACGTGGGCAGACGTTTCCGAAACGGGCACCTTTTTTAATGTCCACATCCTGAGTGCTAGTTACATATGGCTTCATTTAGGAAAATTAGGGCTGTAAAATATGGTTTGTTGACGATCATGTTAGTATATCGTTTTACTGATGAAAAATAGTTTGTAACCTGAAAAAATAGTTGTGCTTATAAAGTAAGTACATTAAAATACTATGCTAATAATTTATATATATATATATATATATATATATATATATATATATATATATATATATATATATATATATATATCTCAATAACTTTGCTCCTACGTTTCCTCAATATATTTTTTATATATTTTGACTCTCTGTTACCTCCCCTATGTCCTCCCCCGCGTCCCATATACTAAACTTAATGTTTTTCAATCTAATTGACACGCATTAAATTTTTATATAGTCTTGCAATATCCAAGACAACAAAAACACCGTGATGCCTTCAAATTATCTAATAATTGCGAAATTTAAATGTGGCAAGAAATAATTTTCCCTTTGGGAAAAAAATCTTGCGTAAAATGCGAGAACAAAGACGACTTTAAATATAATCACCCGACACTAGCCTTTCCCACAATTACCGGCTTTTTAGGATATTTCCGCAAATTTCAATTACAAAATACCTACTAAGAGGTTTTTTAAGCAAAATACTTGTATGATATGTTGAAGGCCGTAGGATTTTCTATATGGAGGGTGTAAATTAAAAGAGATTTGTATTGCAACCAGCAATTTACCTAACACTAGCGACTCACCCTCGCTTCGCTCGGGTTTGTCCCTAGGTACTAGGTTTTAATGGTTAGTATGGAATAGATAGATTATATATTATATGATATAATATCCTAAATAAGCGGTCTATCTAATGCAAAAAGTATTTTTCAAATCGGATTAGTAGTCCCTGAGATTAGTGCGTTCAAATAAAGAAACAAAGAAACAACTCTGCCTCATTATAATATTAGTATTTATTTATCTTAACACCTCCAGGTAAATTTCTAAGAAATTAATTAAAATTCTAAGAAATCTATTGTTAACTGACACGCCGGCGTGTCCACGGTCGTGGAGGGATTAATATCAAGTATTTTAATTACGATACTACACAGCGGCTGCGCAAATGCAAGATAACAAAAACTAACACAGTAATTACAATAGAGTAACGAGTGTTTAGCCATTACAAAACTTTTTTAACTTAGGAACTATGAATATATGTATCATATATTAGTTATTACTCAAATCGTTATATCATTGTGCAGTATAATTTCATAATATTCTTATATGACCTTGCTTGCCACTTTCTACAAACATCTGGGTTATTATTACGAAAGCAAATCTATGTAGATTGAATTAGGTCCATTTTTTGTATCCTAGGTCAAGTGTTCATTTTTTACTTAGTTGATATTATACTTTTACTAAATAAGTACACTTTGAAGATTTTTTAGAGTTTTAAAATAAAATTATTTATCTATATAATTCATAAAATATTATGATTTAGTATGATATGAGGATTGTTCTGTATGCCTTTCTGTTGTCATAAGTTATTAACAATATATACAGCTAAAATTTGTTTGTTTGTTCGTCCGTTGGTTTGTTTCTTTGAATAAACTATCACCTTTAGCAGATCACCAAGCCTTGAACAATGCTAGTTAATAGAATAAAATAATTAATGAATTTATAATTAAAAAAATATTATTAAATAACATACGGGATGAAATGGTTTAAAATAATATTTATAGAGTGCGTTTTGTTTCAGAAATAATTGAAAATGAATCGATAGAAGCGTCGAGAATTAAAAGAGAAGGAGTTCCGGAGAATAGGGGTGAGTAATCAACATTTATATCACGAAACAACTTGTAAAAAATATGCTTGCATTACATTTTATTTAATTTCTTCTAGTGTTATTTTATTATATTAGTATTTTATGTATTTGAGTGTATAACAAGATTTTTGCCTTTACAATTTCTGATTTATGTATGTATCTGAATTCTTAATTTCTAAACTATATCTTTTATATTGTTGTTTTATTAGATTTTTATTATTTACCTATACAGTTGATGATTTGTACAATTCTAATTCATTTGAAAAAACAGATTTAAATTGTTCTATTGAAATTTCCCAAATCATCAACTTGGTAATAAAATTAAAGTTGTACAAAATTTAGTGCTAACCAATTTGCAAATTTCTGCTACTTCTCTAAACACATACTTATCCATTTTCAATTTTTTAAAATTAAATTTTTCATTTATTCGGAAATTCCAATATTTATACAAATCTAAACTTGAAATTGGACTAAGTATATAATTCTTTTCTATCTATATTACGTAATTAATTGTATGTTTTTTCTTTCTCTTTCAAATCTAATCCCCGGGTCGTGGTCAACTCCGAACTCAAATGGACCTTGTAAAATATAATGCACCTCCACGATATCCTTTCCACGACTTGACGGAACTACGACTTCATGACTGATCTACTAGACCTGACAGTGCTGCTCGTTAACGACCAAAATCGAAACGATTATAACACGAAAGTTGGACGATACCATAGCGTTAAGCCTTTGATCGGCCTTCTTACTTCAACTGCAAGAACTTTTATCCAGGATGGAGTTACTACAGAATTTGCTACACAAATTCTTGGAACCACCCTAGACAATGGACGTATTTACGCACAACTTTTAACTAAATCATCACTTGTACTTTATAATAAGCCCTCGAATGTTGGAGATGCTTACATTGTTCAACCAACTCGTGTTCATTCTGCTTTTGATGGCCAATGGAATGTCAAACAAGACTTGGGTATTATTGATCCAGATAAATTTGTGCTTAAAAATACTGATTATTTAGCACCTAGCAGCAAAATGGAGATTGTGTATGCTAGTAAACCAGCACAAGAGAGTTTTAAATTTTGGAATCCTCCAACTTCTCCAGATCAAGTTGATAATCAAATATTTGAGGTACCCACAGCACGTAAAGTGCATTCTTATAATGAAGAGCCTAAGTTTGAAGTATATAATTATCTTGATGGTCCAGATATCGAAAGTGAAAAGAAGATACAGTACGTGCAACCTTCTCTGTTTGAAAATATAAATACATTGCATCGTCAAAGTAAAGCATATGAACCAATTACCGAACCAATTAAAACGCTAATACAAGAACAAGAAGATATTCCCATAGAATCTGATGTTGTTAAAGTTAAGCCTACCTATGATTTGCCTACTTTTACTATAAAGAACGAGTTTTCGCCAATATTTTATTATATTGATAATGTTGAATCGCGTTCTTCTAAACAATCTTTACCACAGACTAAATTACCTAAAAAGTTGTTCGGGCAAAAAAGTGAACCTCGTCCCAAAAAAACGTTTACTTATGCAGGTTTTGCTGATTTTACTACAGTTGTTGGTGACACTGTTATTGTTTTCACTCCTAATACTGAAACTATTAAGCATCCTAATCCAGATGAAGTAAATGTCTTTCCCTCAGCTAAGCCAGTAGATAAATTAGCTACTAAAATTACATTCTTGTCAGCTGATATTCCTGTAGCCACTTCTACTTTCAAAGCTCATGAAGCTAATACAGTCACAAAAGTAGTAACACCTAGCAGTAATGATCATAGCTCCGAAAAAGTTTTCTTTAATGACGAGAAAGATCTAAAAAAGGTTATGTATGAAATTGATGATAAAGTTCCTGATACAGTGAGTGTACAATATAATAATGGCTTTGATCTTAATATCGACGTAATACAACCTTCAGAACCAGCTTTTACAACAACCGAACGCACAAGAAACACAGAAGATTTAGAAGTTATTCCCGAAAATAATTTTAATTCTCTAGCAACTGATCCTTTAACTTTACTGATGCCATCTGCGACTATTGTCGAAGAACCAAAAGAATCTGCGGTTACTGAAATTGGAAGTACTGAAATATTTACTAATTCTGCGGAAGAAACAGAAAATACAGCTGCTGAAGTTACAGAAAAAATAGAAGAAGATGAAGAAGAAGAAGATCAAGAGGAAGACGATAGCACTCAGGAAATAGTTTCTGAATTATTAACTACTACAGAAAGTGGTCACAGCGATGAATCTTATGAAATTGAGACAACAACAGAGAATAAATACGACAAACATGAAGAAATCTTTTGTACTGATGGACTTGAAACACAGTCAACTATGACAACAGCCTATAAAACTTTAACATATTTAACGACATATTTTATTCCATTAGAAAGTACTGAAACTACTACTTCTATTAAGTCAGACGTTGTAGTTGAGAGTAATGTGGGGTATTTAACAAATTATATTTGTAAAACAAGTCAAAATATTGAACCAACATCTGTTATAGAAGTCCAAGGTACTGTAATAAGTAACATTGAAAAACCAGAAATAGTTGATACAGGTGATACAAATACTCCACGTACACCAGAAATTAACACTGAGAGTCCAAAAAGAACTACACCTATGGAAAAAGAAATTCAATCTACTGTTACAGATGATGAGTTAATAAAACCACCTGAGGATGATAAAAATACAGATTCACAAGAAGTGAGTAATGAAAGTGATACGAAATCAACCACTACTACTGAGCGAATTTCAACAAGTCAAAGTCACGTAGAAGTTTCTGTAAGTACAGAACATACACCGACAGAAAATCTTAATTTAATAAATGACGATGACTCTGAAAATGAAATAGATCTTATTTATAAAACTCTTTACACAACTTACACATACTTTACTACATTCTTTGGTGACCACACTTCTAGTATTGAAAGTCATAAATCAGTAGTAACTAATATTATTACTTCAACATTGGATTTGTCGAAAATTGATCCTTCATTACTTGGCGCATTTGAAGATGAAATTTCACCCACTAGTGTAAACAATATTCAACCAACTGAATCACGTGCCATTAATAGTATCATTGATCTAGTTAAAAATAAGGATGTCATTGAATCTGTTGAAATTAATAAATCATATAGTTCTCAAACTCCAACTCCGTCACTAGATGATGATTTAGTAGCTAGCATTAAGCCAGATTCTGTTAAAACTTATTACACAACTTATACATTCTTTACAACTATTTATGTGGGTTCTGATGCCAATGTTTGCAGCAGAAGTGAAGTATACACCAATTATGTTGGTCCTGATGAGTTAAAGCCTACAAAAACTAACTCATTACCTGCGGAAAACACAAGAGCTCAATTTGACTTTAGAAATTGTATGCAAGTCAAAGGAATGACACAGGAGGGCACAAAAGAAAATTCGTCTTTTGAAAGTAGTGTCACTATGGAAGAAAAATCATTAGAGGTAAATCATAAAAGCAATGAAAGTGTGCCACAACCATCACCTATAGAAGTTGATATGTTGTTTAGTGTTGAGTCAAATCCACTTATATCGGAAAACTCATATATAACAGATGTTAAATCTTCATCCTCTAAAGGAGAAACAAAATTTTTAGATAACAATAATGTACTAGATGATCAAATAAGCTCTGAAAGTAACATAGATGAGATTCTCCCATCACCTACACTCTTGTTACAGACAAGTTATACTACATTTACTTACTTTACTACTATGTATATAGGAAAAGATTCAAGTAAGGTAAAAAGTCATTTGGAAACAATAACAAATGTTGTTACGGAAACTATTAGACCAAAAACCGAACCTGAAGAAGAAAATAATCTTCCAATTACTTATTATACTACATTTACATATTGGACAACGCTTTATAAAGATAAATCAACAACAATAACAAGTCGTGAGGAGATAGTTTCTAATGTTGTCACACCTTCAGTTCAATCAATACCTACAGTAAGTCCTATAGATACCACACCTATAGATATTGTTAGTGTTTTGCCACCAAAAGACTTAGAAGTAGCACTTAAACCTTCTTTAGTAGACGATAGCCTAGAACAAGATGACGGAAAAGCTACATTTTATACAACCTACACTTACTTCACGACATTTTATGCTGGTAATACGTCACAAATAAGAAGTAGTTTGGAAACTGTTACCAATATCGTCGACAATACAAAGATAGTTGAAGACAACCAATTAGGTAGAAAAGTTCCAAGTGGGGCAGTAGATAAAAACTTGATTCAAGATGAAAAACCTCATATTATGCCAACTAAAATAAAAGAAGAAATTCAAGCAACGAAGTTACCTGAACTATCAAGTACATCACAAACAATATTACAAGGAACATATATTGACAACTTATTTGCAGAAGTCAAGCCACTTGAAGTTAATACACTAAAACCAGATTTGGAGAAAAAGATTTTATTCTCTCAAGTTGCAGTTATATCTGGTGATTCAACTATCATCACAAGTGATAATAAAACGTTGGTTGAGGAGTCTTTGCCTACAACTACAACGTCTTCTTCTACGACTACGGAAGGTACTATTATTAGTCCTACTCCTGAAGTAATAGAAAGCTCTCTTGCTGACTCGGAAACAACAACAGAATTACAATATGAAATAGAAGATGAAGAAGATGATCCTAGCGCTAAAAAGAAAAGTCGACTTACATTTACAACTAAGAAACCTTCGTTTACACCAGTAATAATACCTTTTGCGTCGAGAAATAGGCCCACATTTAGCCCAAAACGTTTGGGTATTCCTAATAGCGCTACTACAATTACTCGTGCCGATTCTACCCCAACCATTACGGCAACACCAACATTAAAATCTGTAAGACCTTCAGGTGCTTACAGCGGTAGTCGTAAACAAGGAGTTGTAACTGGATCAGCAAGTGCTGGAAAAAGATTCTCTGGTCGTAGCAGTGCAACTATAAATTTATCAGCTAATATTCCTGCTTCACGTCCAGGAGGATTTGCTAGAGGAGGAAGTATTGCACCTACTTCAAGGAGAACTGGTTTCAGATCTAGTTCCCTTAGAAGTAATAGTTTGGATTACGCTAGTCGATCTGCAATTCCCAGAATACGCCCGACAGCTACGTCAAGACTACGAGGAAACAGGCAATCAACTCTTATAAATTATCCTGCAATTGATCAGAATGAGTCTGAAACTTTTGCTACACAACAAGAAGAAAGTGCAACTGAATCTCTTGATGAATTTACTGAAACATCTCTAAGACAAACGACTAATAATCCTTTACTAAGATTTAGAAGGCCGCCAGTGGCTAGACAACCTGGTACAGCCATAATACCAAGATCTACTACACCTTCATCAAGACGAAGTTTAACTACACGTGGAAGAACTACTACTACCACAAAACGTTCAACTACTCGGTCGACTTCGAATCCTTTACTCGCATTACGTAGGCAAAGACCCGCTAATTCTCTTTTCCCTAGAAGAAACTTATTTAAGCAACCAGAACCTGAACCAGAAGAAGAAATAAGAGAAAATGAGCAAAAATATAATGAAGATGAAGAATTATTAGAAGAGGAAGAATTTGAGGAAGATAATGATTATGAATCATCTGATAGAAAAGAACAGCAAGTGGCTTCTCCGGTTGCCTCGTCAAATAGAAAGAACCAAAATCCAGTTCAGATAAGACCATTTCCATTTAAAAGACGAGTTAAACGTCAAGTGGACTATGGAAATAGAAAATATACGAATTTTAGAAGACCGGGAATTAAGCCAGCGAGCACGAGACGTCCTGAACCCGAGCCTGAAACTGAACCTCCTGCACCTGCCACACAAAAAAATCAACCAAAATCTGGACGCTTTAGTTCACGTGCTGGAAATACTAGAACTACGACTATCTCTGCTCCAAAAGTTTCGTCAAGGCAACCTTTCATTGTAAGGGGAGATAGTAGTAGGACGACAACTACATCTGCACCAGCTTACAGACGAGGTAAAACAAGAACTAATTCAAGAACTACAACATTATCGTCAAGACCTAAAGCACCCCGTTTATCTGGTAGTAAAACCACTCAGTCATCTAGGTCTAGCCCTCGAACGACTAGCAGATCTAGATCGAGAACCACAACTAGCAAAGCATCTAGCAGACAAAGACACTCATTTGAAAATTTAAGTGGTGAAAGATATAACAAATATGATAACATTTTACATGACGGTAAAATAACTATAACACATCAAATACCATTCGAAGTTACGATACCAGTAGTAAATGGAAAGATTACAGAATATAAAAGTCTTTTAACAGCAAAACCTAGCGTAGAAACATTACTTTTGAATCAAGTATCCACATCAATAAATCCTATTGGTGGCCACCAATTAGTACTTGCTAGTGAATCAACAGAGTTGGCAGAGAACGGTGCGACGAAAATAACTAAATATGTTTTGCATGAAACTCCTACAACTACTGTAATATTTACTCCAACGACATTAAGGGGTCGTAAAACATCTTTTTCACACGTATTACCGAGTACTGTTTATAATGTGGAGCCTGTAGTGCAAACTGTTGCACCGGAGATAAATTCAAATGTACCCTTAGCTAACTTACTTTTATCTCAACTTTTGTTAGGAAACCAGCAACCTGCAATAAACCCATTACTTGCGTTACAAGGACAAGCTTTATTACCACAGCAACCAGTAGTACAAACACCGGTTACTGAGTTCAAAGTTAGAACTACAACATATGTTACAACCGTCACAGATGCAAGAGAAACAGTTCTACCTATTACTTTTAGAGGTATTCCAATATTAACAACTATAGTCGATCCGACCACAAATGTAATAACAGCTACAGAATTTATAACTGACACAGTTGTTACTACACCAACAGTTTTAGCTCCTCCTCCTCCTCAGTACAACTCTTTATTATTACCTTTACTCCTGCAGCAACAACAGCAACAGCAGCAAGCGCTATCATTGCAGACAGCTAATCCTTTACTTGGATTAGGCCACCCTGACCTTAATTTATTGCAAAACAATTTAGTACCCAATAACAATTTAAACAATGACATTTTTAGTAATAGTCCAAAACCAAACATATTATCAGATCTGAGCAGTAATGAAGATTTTGAAGAAGAAATACAAGATAGTGGCGAGGATATACCACCACCCACACCGCCTCCAGCCCGTAAGAGAAGCAAGCAACGTGCTCAAAAGCCCTCTCCACCTAAATTAACAAGCGTAGTAACACTATACGTTTCCGGTAAACACCCTGGTGAATTTAGTACCGTATTATCAACTGTAGTGGCTGATGACACTCAAACTATTAGAAAGCGAGAAGCTATGTATTATGATGATGTAAAAATATTGCCATCGATTTTGCCATCTATAGACCAGCTTATTAGTTCACAAGGAGACAGTACGCTAGAAAACTCTATTAATTCTGATATGGATACATATTTAGCAAATTTTTCGATTGAGTCACAAAAAGCAACGCAAAGCTTAGAAAGTATAGTAGGAAAAGTAAGTGATCATTTTAAATATACTGCTTCACCAACTTACGTTGTCAAAATAGAATCCCCAACTACCCTTAGATATAATTCAAAACAAAGTACCGTGGATGATGTTTCGTGAAGCCCGAACAACTGGTTAGGTCTGTAAAGTAATGATTTAGTTATTTATTTACTTTGTATCATAGTAAGTTAACTATGAATAGTGCCTTATAGTTTTAGCATTTAGTGTAAGATACAAATATATTTTGTACTTGATTTTGTAGATAGAAACTCAAATGTGTTGATAGGTATTCTTTAAGATCACCAAAAATATTATTGACATGTTACCGCATATGAAGTTGTATTGTCAAAAGTAAATATTAGGTAAGAAAATATCTAATCACTGCCTAAGAATTACTCATAATATTTAGTTTTAATTCTTATGATAAATATCTTATAATACTCGACCTGCTTCATTTGTAAATTGCAAATTACGACTTACAATGTTAATAATAAATTGTAATAAAAAGATCTGTTGTTTATCTTCGTTAATCCACTTTGAAAAAATACCCTTTAATTTGTTTTTCTTTTTATATTTACAAGTACAGATAAATATAATATAATAATTATATATAAATCAATTTTCTCATAATAATAATTCAAAAATATAATTTTCACTATATCTGTATTTACCACACAAATTCATAATTTATATAAATAAAACTTAATAAAAATAGCACTGTTTGATTAACATAAGCATACATATGTATACTTAAGTATAGTTTTATTTAACACTTGATAATTAGCATAAATAGCAGCTTTATTACTTAATTGACTCGTCTGACTGTACTGTTTCTGACTGAGAGATCTGAATGACTTTTGAAGATCTTAGATCCAATTGGATGGTTCTATCCCACATTCCGCGTCACCAACCGTCTCGGGAGGTGAGTCTGAGTTACCTAATAATAAATTAATATAAACATAATTTATTTAGTTGTTCCAAAAATTGTTCTGTTTTTTAAATATAAATATCAAACACATTATATCGTTTAAAGATTTTTTAATTATTATTTTTCTTATGATTTTTGGAATATCTAAACCCATACAATAGTTGTAAAAAGTAGCTAGTCTGGGATGCTGTTATAAGGTTGGTTAATGAGAATATGTAAATAAATAGTTGGTAATATTTTGACAATGATTTTAGCTAGTCTTATACCACGACTTGTCCGTTGTTTATAAATTTTAATTTAATTAACCATCTATGGTCATTATTATCATTTTAGGCAATGTTTCTAGAAGATTTTTCTTTAAAATATGTACATATATCATATTAAAAATTGATCACATAAAAAAGATAATAGAGACCAACTTAATAATAATTGAATAGTAGATTTACTAACATATTTTACAATATTTCAATACTCTATTGCACAGTATTATGTTGTGTATGCAGTTATGCACTTGTATTGCATGATTTAAATTAACTTATTTTTTAATAAAATTTTATCAACTACGCTACTGCGTTATGCTAGATTGAACGTTATTTAAAATATTCTTTATATGCTAAATTCATAATTACAAGTAAATCTGGTTCTGAGAATCATTAATTACTTGACATAAATAAAACTAGTGATATTCCAATTTCAGCGTTTAATACTAATGCTATAGTATATGATAATTCACCTTGGAGACCTGGAAGGGACATTGATATAGAACATCGAATGGATGATGAGAGAAGATTAAAAAATCTAGCCACTCGTATTATGTCCAATGGTGTGGAAGTTTTAGTAAGAGATAAAAGTTCTGATGGAAAGCAAGAACAGGTAAAATAATTACAATATTTTTACATAAATTAATAAGAATTTTAGGCATTACAACTAAAAGGTAATATTTTACATACAAAATTACTATATTAGATTTTTTTTAATATTTACTAATAGATGAAGTATAATGTATATGCTAGTGTGTGATTTTTAATAAATAAAATTAACTCATAATTTACTGTAATTTTTTCTCAGCGAAAACTTAAAGTTATGCACTTACCTGCATCGAAAACATCCAATCGTATAAGTTCTACGCCGACGAATAAGTCATTATTATCATCAGCTGTTACTACAGTTGTAAATCGTCAACATATGAGCGCTTTGTTTCCATTACGTCAAGTAATGCAGCACAATTATATTATCAAGACATGTATGACTACATACACTTACCTAACCACAGTAGTTCAAAACAAAAGAAGCGCTGTGTCAACATTTGAAACTATAGTTTCAGTGGTCACTACAGAATCACTTACAAATCTTTATGCCACTGATGTTTTAGCTGATTTAAAACCAACGAAAGTAAGAGTTACAGTTTTGGAACCCATTATACCGACATATAATAGTGTCCTGGGTTCCATGGATCCATTTCAAAATACACCTATTACCTGTAGAATTAATTCCATATTTATCATTACATCGTTCAATCATAATTATTTTTATCAATCTTAACGTTTTTACCACATATTTATAACGATCCACATGTAGACTTAAAACTTCTAACGTTCATTTTTATTAACATTGGCAAGTAAGATTTTCCATAACATTCCAAAGGCAATTTATTAAAATGATATTTTATAGTTTATTAACTCAAACAAAAATCTAACTACAATGTCTATCCTTTTTTGATTTCAGACAAAATATATGGAAGTAAAAACTATTCAACCATCTGCTGCTACGAATGTATTTTTAAATAATATTCCAAAATTGGACAAAAGAATCAACAGTGAAGAAGAAAATAATTTTGATATCATACAACCATCAGAAATAAATCATGTTCCTTGCACTACTTCTTGTTCATGTAGCCATACGCAAACAGAAATGCTGAAGACTAAGCACACAAGTAACAAACAATCATCTATTCAAACATCTGAAAATCATGCCTTAAAGACTAGTAAATATTCTGGGATAAATGTAAACGTAAAGGCAACTCACAAAAACACTATTGAACAGACACTATATCGTCCCTATGAATACGAAACTAGCTCTCATGTAGCACCTACAGATAAAATTGTGGAAATATATACACAAGTTAATGATTATTCCGATGAAAAAGAAACGAGCTCTATAGAAAATAGTGATTTATTGACAAATGAACAAGCACCGTTTCCTCTGAAAACTAACAAGATGTCAACAAATAAAACTTCTGAAAAGATAAAGCCAGAAAAACCCCAAAAAATAAATAAAAATAAATTCGTTGTGGCGGAACTAATAAAATTAGGATCATTGGGTATCAAAGGACTATCTCAACTAGCACCAGTTATTGAAAAAATGACAGGTGGATTTATGAAACGTCAAGAAACAAATAAAACTACAGTCATAACAACCACTCTTAAGCCTCCCCATAAAGTGACGTCCTATAATGCAAATAAAAGAGTTGATAATGATATTGAGTCGAAAGTGGCAAATTTTCCAATTTACATACCTGTTGATGAAATGGAAGCTTCTGAATCCCAAATTGGTCTTACAAACGTAACTTTACATCAAAATTTTGCCTGGGCAGCAGAGCATAAAAATCCTATATTTTCGCATCTTGTTAGGCCAAAAGTAGTTCATGAGAGTCCACTTGTAAATGGTGGTATACCCATAAGTCCAGGTGAAATTATAACCGCTAACTCAGATGTGATAGTTGGGAAACCTGCAGTAGGAGGACCATTGACATTAGGTGCTAGTGGTATAAAATTACAAAACAATGTACATCCGCCACTAATAGATAATGTAGTTGCAAATAATGAACTATATATAACAAAAGAAAAACCTTTGAACGATAAGCCAGTAGATGACTCATTTGATTTAAGACCACCCGAATTGCCTAAAGTAAAATCTAAATTAAACAAACATTTGCTCCGGCCACAAGTAAATAATATTGAAAAGAATAATTTGCAATCTGGGTCCTCTCGCTTGCCATCAAATCCATATATGAATGAACACATCAAGCAATCTGGGTTTATACAAAATAACTCACCTATCGTAGTTAATCATGGCCGACCAGCATTCTTAGATTATATTCCATCTTTAGTTAAACCTTCTCAAGGTGGTTTTAAGGAACACCAGACAGTACATAGGCCAACATATGAAGAGAATAGAGATCAAGATATTCCCGACAATAACCCTAGTTCATCGGAAGTTGTTAGTACAAAAATTACTACAAATGGAGAATACGTTAATTTCGATAATTCCGATTCCATTAATAAGCCATTTTTAGTAGATATACAGCCATCAAGAGTAGCTAATGTATTGATTCCACATGGTAGTTCTACCGCTTTAGTTTTTGCTGGATCTTCCGAACCACATAAAACTGGGGACTATGTTGATGATCCTTTGCCATATCCAGAACCTGGTTATTTTGGAAGCTTCAGCATAGATGCACCTCAGATGACAAATGTGCATAATGTTTATCCAAATAAAAATCAGTTTTTCGTGGACTCAAGTGTCGCACCCACCAGTTTTGAAAATAATAAAGAATCCATTAGTAATAGTGATCCTAAGTTAAAGTGGAATGAAAACAAGCGCCCAAAAGATTTAACTAAAATACCTCCTCCTACGAGTAATCAAGAGACACATGTTCGAGTAGGACCACAAATTACCACCTACAATCCAGAAATTTATAAAGATTTTGAAAAGCATATTTGGAATAAAAAAGTCAATAACAAGCCTAAGGAAGGGAAAGAGGTCATTGATAAAGAATATGAAAACTATTTAGCCGTTCCACCACCACCACCTAAATTACACTTTAATCAAGATAATCGCTATGATAAAAATAAATATCACCAACGGCCTGTCGTTCATACGAAACCTACTTTAGAAAGTAATGTATTTTTGAACATTCAGCACCCCGTATCCAGTCAACTACCTCCAAAAGTAACCTCAGAAGTTTATTTTGCATCACAGTTGCCAAATAATCACCCAACACCGACATATACAATTAAGATGCCACCACCGATTGTTGAAAGTCCACATATGCCAATAAAATCTAACAACCAATACCACAAAAGCAGTAATCCAATTACCTCTTTTAAAACAGAAAATAAACCTATCTTACCTACAAATAGTCGAAATAATACTTACACAATTACTTTAAATACTGCAACAAATATTGCGAGTGATAGTGCTTCAGGACATATCATTGGTTCAAGCGTATCGGTACCTATAACAACTACATCTCTTAATGGACAAGTGAATGCAAATATTCCAATAGGTACAAACTTTGCAATTCGTGTAGAAGATGACCCTGCAAAATACGAAAGTGTGGCATTGCATGGAAAGAGACATCCATCACTTACATATGATGATCATAGTCATGTATCAATGGAGCATTTTGAAAGCTATATTAAAAATTCAAGTCATATTTCTAATACGACTAATTCTTTGAAATTAGAAAAAGGACAAGAAAATGTCAATAAAAACAATATCATAAATAGAGTAATCCAAAAAAATGATACTTACTTTGTGCCGCCAACCTTAAATAGCCATGCTAATTTCCCTATGATGAATGAAAATTTTAATATACAAGTCAATTCAAGGCCGAGTCATATAACTTCGAATTCAAAGGAAGATAAGATAGCATCACAATTCGTTCCAAATGTTTCAACCAACTCTCATGGTTGGTATGCTAGTGTTCTTAACGAAGAAAATTTGAAAAATATTAAAGTTGAAGCCACGACACGAAAATTAATACCACTAAATTATAATAACAATGGCGACTATTTACCTGAATTTGGCGAAAAAATTGCAACTGTGGGTAAACCTCCAACGGAATTTTGGGATCAAAAAAATAAGCAAACTTTAAACAATTTTAGTATCGGTAAACCTTTCTCAAAACCAAATGAACGTCAAAAATTACACGTAACACACTTTAATATTAAACCTAATTATATTCCATCAAGTTTGGATGGTAAACAACAAGCTTATGATATTCCATTACAAGACAATAGTTATGAAACTACTTCGCTTAAATCTATTAATTCTAAGCCGACAATCTATGAGACTCCTGATGAAATTTATGATGGTCAAGATGAATCTGACACTAATAGCGAACTTGAAAGTGAAGTAAGTTCAGAGTCTATGAAAGTACCAATTGTTGCCTCGTCTATTGAACGAGAGAACTCGACCAAAGGTTTCTCTACCATTAAATTTTCGCAAAATATAAAATCTAACAATAATAATAATCACGATGTATTATTGGTCAACTTTAATCCTGGTACTCAGACAGAAAAGCCATTTATTTCTCAAAATAAAACTTCTTTCCATTCTAATAATATAAAACCAATTTATAACCAAAATGCCAACGTAAAACCAAGGCCTTTTACTATGAATTCAGCAATACCACTCGACCACCAATTACAACAACCCCATTGGCAGATAAATCAACTAATGGAAAATGCTACAAATATATCGTATGAAGATAATATGGAATTGAATACAGGCGAAGAATTATATACTTCATCAGTAAGTCCTCCCATTTCTTCAAGTAAATCGACAGAATTAAAAGAATCAGCCAATAAAGATAATAAAAAACCAAAACCTTTTAATTCCATTTTAAGTAATAATACCAAAGTCGTAAATGAGTCTAACATTATTACATCAACAGTTCATATTCAGGATAAAAAGCCTTTGATTGTAGAGGCAAATGAGAAATCAACTATACCAACTTTTACAATCAAAGATGGGGCGGAATTGAATAGTTCATCTAGTGAAATATTAGATTTATCACCACCCCCTTTAATTACAAATCATAATTTTACATTTAAACTGTCAGCAATGCAAGAGATAATGGGAATGAGTCCACCGCCTCAATTAACATCACCACCAAGGCATGTTTCAAGGACACCATCGACTCCGAGACCTATTTTACAAATAAGAACTTCACCGCCTTATAGAACATTTCCACCAAGGACTCTGCCACCAAAACAAACAACGCAGCGACCACTGCGGAAGCCAATTAGCAGAGATGAGATTTCAACATATAGACCGGCCTTTGATTTTGTAAATAAGGTGAAAAGACCAATATATTATGATCAACCATCTTCGCATTTATTACCACCTCCAAGAGATGTACCTTCCAAGATTGCATTAATGGAAGATATTCATAAGCTAACTTCGTCAGTTCTGGCAACTACAAATGTTATTTTTCCTACTCCGATTTCTACAAGTTGGATAACCTCTTCTAATATTGAATTTCCTACGAGTTTGGACTTTACACCAACATCAGTTTACTTTTCAGATACAATGTTACCACCGAATAGTTCAAAGGAATCTGACATTACATCTTTAGAAAATTCATCTGAAAATGTATATAACTCAAATGAATATGAGATATCGAGCGAGGAAATAAATGTTAGCTATGAAAAACCCGTAACACAAAAAACATCAACAGTTCTGAAACAATTTAACAAAACTAGACCGATAGATAAAGATGTTAATATGTCTCCAGATGAAACTGATTTGAGACAAAGTGAGTCTACATCTTCAGAATCAAGCCATGAAAATAATAATTCAGATAAAATGAAAGTGATACCGATTGGGAATAAAAACCGTACCCGTAAACCATATCCAGTACGCAGTGACGAGAAAAATACCGTTACAAACAGATTTAAGGCTCCTTCTAAAATTATACCTATCATAAAACCAACACGAACACTGTCTCGTCCAGAATTATCGTATCCGACCAGAATGACTTCAGTGAAAAAGATTGTTCGGCCAATACCTTCTAGACCACTAATCTTTAACCCTACAAGCATAATTGAAAGCTCTGAGTCGTCATTAGAAGAAGATTATATAAGACCAACGGAAGTTCTTAATAAAGATGAAGTATCTACACCTGCACCACAATTACCGTCTATCATTGAAAAGACTGTAACTTCTACTTTAACTATTAGTAAAAATGTATTAGATTCGTCCAATATTCTTAAAACTCATCATGCCGGTAATGAAATCAAAATTTCGGACGAGATTATACCGACTAAGACAGAATTCAAAACAACAATTATTACGCTCACTAAAACTCTATCTGAACCACCTCAAATCATATCAAGCATTGGTTATGTAAACTTAACTCATACATTGACTGTAACTCACACAGAAACGAGTTTAGTCAGTCAGTCTGAAGGAGCTATCACTGAAACCCTAGTTCTTACAAATATACAAACATCTACAGTGGTTGATGTAGTTACAGAAGTATATACCCAAGTACAACCGACTACAATAGTGGAAACTGTCACAAAGCATATACCAATCCCTCAAGTAGAAGCAACTCCAGTACTACTAAGCTCAACCCCATCTACAAAAGTCGCCCTCGATGACATTACTATGTCTTCCGAAGAAAATGATAACTTTATAATAAAAGATGAAGATAATAACGCGACCGAAAATATTCAAAAAATTGATACTGATAAGGAAAAAGACAACGATACATTCTTTGTAGTAATGAATAAGTCACAAAATGGTGGCAAGTCTCCACCAATAAGCACAGACATAGAGACAGGCGATTACGATGGCATCACACGAAATGAACAAGTGAATAACAATGGCGTGTCTCAAGTTCTATTTGGGGAAATATTATTAGCTGGAACTCCATATTTGGAAACAGCTAATGTTGGACATCCTATCGGCAAGTACTTTACAATATTCAGTTGTAGAGCAAAAAAATTGTTCCTACTTTAGTATTTTATAATTTGAACTATAAATTGTATTACAATATTTGTATTGTATGTTAAAAAATTTTAGGTGCAGGATACGGAAAAGAATGTCAACCAGATTGTAAAGCTTCGAGAAATGAAAGATGTCAAAGGATTGATGGTGTAATGAAATGTGTTTGCAGACCTGGTTTTGCTAGAATGTTCCCAGATAGACCTTGCAAACGTAAGATTATATAAGTTTAAATTTGGATCTGTATATACGAAATAATGCTAATTACATTTATTATTCTTGGGTTTTCAGCTACTTATACTTATTCAGTCAGATTGGCACTCGGATCTCAAGGTAATGAGCGTCTGAAGTTCCATTCGAGCTTATCTGATAATTCTAGCAAGGAATACCACAGTTTGGCTGTTGCTACTCATGAAGGAATTAATAGAATGGTAATGCAGTCAGACTTACGTGATGTATACCATGGAGTTCATATTACTGGATTCTACCCTATTGAAATAAGGCTACCTCGAGGCGATTCATACCAGGGAGTCATTAATGACTTCTATGTACAGGTACAGAAGTATTGAAATATTCTCAAAATTAGTCAATTAAACAAGTAAATCAGGTATGAAAGGAAACTGCTGAGTGCTATCAATGGTTGATCTATTTTAGAACTGATTATATCTTTTTTTTTATTTGTCTGTCCTCCCTGTGTGTATCTTGGCTTCGCACTCGGCTGGGTTGCCGGACACTTATGAGCCCCCCCCCCCCCCACCACAACAAGGTGAACACACATCGGGAGGAGAACTGAATATATCTAGCTAAATTATTTAAATACATACCTTTAATTTTCATTATTTATTTAAGTATTAGATAAATAACATATACTTATGGGATTTACAATTTCAGCTCTCAGATAACGCTCACGAGAATAGACTTAAAGAAGTTATTGAAAAATATTTGCGTAACAACAATTACAGTCTGGGCGGAACAGAAGTACATGCAGCTGAAGAATTCGTGGATAGACTAAATGTTACAGGTACGTCAATTGCTTGTGCCAATTAATAATAAAATTACGAGAAAATAAATTGAAAAAAATCTTTTTTAAAAAAAAGCTAAGCTAAGCTAAATTGATGATTGCTTAAAACGTTAAAAGCGACAATTTTAATGTTTTAACTAATTAGCAATTTGGCGGACACGGCATACAATCCCTATCCGTCTTCGCAGAAATACTCACGTTCTTTGTCTTTTATATAATATTCTATTTAATCCCTGTACACTTCAGTATATTAAATATAGGTTTAATTTTTAAGTGATTCTCACCATTTTTCTCTTCGTTCTAACCTTAATCTAACTTTACAAGTTCCTTCACACTCTTCTTCCTTCTATACTCGCTCCTTTACTGTCCAATCTGTCCATCTGTGGAACTCGTTACCAAATAAAGTAAAACAAGCTGATTCGCTGTCACTATTTAAAAAAATAATAAATGAATATTATCTTAACTTATAAGTGATAAATGGTGTCACATTTTATTTTATATGTATAATGTTTATATGTGGTATGTATGTATATATCTGTTTGTATATGTATGTATTTATAGTATCTCTCTTTAAGATTGTTTGTACCCCTTCCTTCTCTCTTCTTTCTCTCTACCCAAAGGTTGCCTAGAATAGATCGCTCTCTAGCGATAAGGCCGCCTATTGTACTATATTACTTTAATCTGTTTCAACTATATAATGTAAAATAATGGTGTGCAATAAAGAATATTTCATTTCATTTCATTCATTCACACGTATGTGAAGAGTTTAGTTCTTAGAATATTTATTTAATCCAGCACCAACTAATCGAGTAGATTTTACAGGATTTGCATATAAATAGATCTAAATTTTGACAGATTCCATTACATTCGAAACTAAATTATAGATTACAGAACATAGAGCTACTATTTTAAAATATTTCTTCTTCTTAGATTTCGACGAGTGTACCAGCACGCAATTCCATGATTGTTCAGAGCACGCACGTTGTTTCAACCTCCGCGGCACTTACACCTGCAGCTGTCTGGAAGGCTTTGCAGACCTTAGCGTGAATACTCTATACCCTGGCAGGATATGTTCTTGTAAGTCGAAATTTAATATTATATTGTTTCATGTAGTAGTAATTTGCATTCTCATTTTCACACATTTTGAATATAAAATGGCGAATAAGTGGAAAATTTGCGCATTCAAGACAGGAAGATGAGGACTGATTAACCAATCATAAGCGTAATTCTTTTTGGCTTATATCACATGATAAAAGTGGACTATTGTGCTGACAGTTATTTGATTATAGTGGGTAGTATTGAAAAAAATGGTTTTTAAAATATTCATTTTTCAACCGACTTCAAAAAGGAGGAGGTTCTCAATTGGACTGTATTTTTTTTGTTTGTTACCTCAGAACTTCGTCATTTATTAACCGATTTGGACAATTTTTGTTTTGTTTGAAAGGGTATACTTCCAGATTGGTCCCATTTAAATTAAAAAAAAATACCACCCCTAAGGGTGGAAAAATAGCTAATGATGGATTTAACCTACTTCTAAGTATAATATTGACTTGAAACTTTGCAAGTGTTTCTATTTCCGTTGATAGTACAGTGGTTCGGTATTGTTGACCTGATCTGATGGTAAGGCCAGAAGGTGGATAGGTGGAACTCTTCAACGGCTAATAGTAGATACTTTGAGTTTGGGTTTATTTTGTTTGATTCGATAAGCCTAACACGTTAGAATTCTTACTTTGCTACTACTGTCTACACTAAAAAGGGAAAAATAAAAACTTTTTAACAAAAAAATAAAAACCGACTTCAAACAAAAGCACTAAAAAGTAAAAAATAACTGATTGGTAGTTTTCATTTACTATACAAACCTAATCAAATATTTTCGAAGTCGGTGTTCTTTGGCTAAGTAATTAAAGCCTACCTATTAAATACATACCTAATCAAATATTTTCGAAATCGGTGCCAGCCCATACAAAGCAAAGCACACCGACTTCGAAAATATTTGATTAGGTATGTATAGTAAATGAAAACTACCAATCAGTTATTTTTTACTATTTAGTGCTTTTGTTTGAAGTTGGTTTTTATTTTTTTGTTAAAAAGTTTTTATTATTCAGTTTGCTTAAATAATATTTTTCTTTGAAACTGTGTAATATAACAATATCCTTTCTCATCTCAGCTGATGCCGTAGGATGTTCTGGTTGTAATTACCACGGTACTTGTTTCGAAAGAGAAAGTGCTATGATTTGTGAATGTTTCAAGTGGTACGCGGGACGAACGTGCCAGGTCAATCTTAAAGGTACGCTCAAAACTCACTATTGTTCAAAAATAAAATAATTTTATCTTTTTTGTGCATTCTTTATGTTTTAAAATACCATAAACTATAAACGAGACTTGTTTTTGTTCTCTTTTGTATTTTATATGTGAAATATTTTAATGATTAACATAAATAGACATAAAAAAGTATCTTTTAAAATGAAACTAAGCAGTTTAAAATATTGTTATTATCATTAGATAATTAACCTTTTAAACTTACTTCACAGCGGTTCTAATAACAGTGACAGTAGTCGGAGCAGTGATAATATTGGCGGTGACGATTTGGGCTTCGAAGAGATGCTGTAGTCCGCGTAGTCCGGCGACACAGACCTTTGTAATAGGATGTATGCAAGGCATGCCTAGTTTACATCAGGTAATGACTGTTAATATATAATACAAGATATTCGAGAAACTTCTCTTTTTCTGCTTATATCGATATAATACTTGCTACATGGTATTTTGTTATTCTAGTCTTTATTTCATCCCACCGTAACAAATTATTCATATATACATACTAGCGACTCACCCTTGCTTCGCTTCATTTTCATCTTTAGTAAAAAACAAAAACAAATATGTCCCATGCGAACCGTACATTTTCTCAGTGCTTTTTAATTAAAATACATATTTACCTGTACAATTTCAGGGTAACATGCCTTCAAAACAGAGAGCTGATAGACGAGCACTTATAGCTGAAAGAATGGAAACGGGTGAAACGTGTAGTGTCCAAAACACATCTCTACCCTATATACCAGCTAAGGTAAGAATTTCCTGACGCCAGATTAAATAATCTTTTGCATTGTAAGGGCCTTTGCTACCACCAAAAAAGCAGTTTCTATTTATTTCTGTCTAGTTCGCAAGATGGATGGAATGTGTAAGAGTGTGTGAGAATAAAGTAAGATTAATTAAAAATATCTGACATACCACGGCAGATATAGATCGACTTTAGTAGGTGTAGGTTTATATTGTAATAAATTAAAATAAATATTTGTATATTTATTCCCTGTAGCCAACATTGTGGTGACGCGCTCGCTTGGGAAATTGAGTGAAGCGGGTTCAAATCCCGGGGCTAGCTCCTCTGATATATTCATGTGCGGCTCCATTCCAACACGATTACCACTTATCTTAACGGTGAAGGAAAATATCGTGAGGAAACCTGTATGTCTAAGAGAAACTAGCCAGTTTTCATAAAAACATGTGAAGTCCGCCCACCCACACTTGGTTAGCGTGGTGGACTATGGCTTGATCCCTTTTGTATTAAAGGGAGGCCCGTGGCCAACAGTGGGACGTTAAAAAGGGCTGAATACATATTTCAGTGAATCAAGAAAAAATATGTTTTATTCTATTTTAGTCCCGTTCACGCTCGTCCTGCAGTAAGAAGATTACAGTGATATCAGACCCTCCGTCTCACGCGCCGCCGCCGCCGCCTGCGCCCGCGCTCATGATCCCACGCGCGAGACTACATCCTCAACATTCTGATAGGTAAGAATATCAACAACAAAAATGAATATTGCTTAGTTTAATATTATTTTTTATTTAAACTACTTCAGTTTCATTACACCTGAGTATGTTTTAATATTTATGGGCATTGCCTATGTTTATATTATAAATACAAAAAGTGCGTAGGGACGTACCCTAGCGAAGCTTAGGTAAGACGTTACTTATTAATAAAATAATTTGTATAATATTTTATTAGTAAATAATGATAAAGCATAAAGAGCAAGTGCTTGAAAGTTTTGAGGGCTTTTTAAGTTTCACATATAATAATTTCAAGGTGACTTAAGTAAAACGTCAAAATATTTTAAAATTAATAACTATATTTTGACTTCAAATTGAGGTTTAGAGTAATACAATATTATTAGGTAATTTCTTTGCTTTCATTTCATATGTCTTTTGAAAACCAGTTAGGTTCTCTCAGGACGATATAATACTTATACATTACGGTTTACCGTATGCTCCAATCAAAAAGACAATTGACAGCTTTTATACCTACATAATATACAAATTAAAATATATATTTTCAGTCGAGACAACTTATCAAGAAAGAAAAGTACAGAAGTGTGCAATGAAGCAAAACTCATCAGCTATTTAGAATCAGGAGTCACAAATTCTGCAGAAGAAGTGAGTTAGCTATATTTCACTCCATTTTCTACTTCGAGTGTTATATTAATTAATATAATTAATATTTTTATATAAAATATTGTTTATATCTTCATAAAGAAAGTAGAAACACCAACTCAATAAAGATATTAGTTACTCATGATTTTTATAATAATTTTACTATTTTTCCAGATGCGAAGAAAACATAGTATGGAATCTTCATATAGCATTAACAAAGAGCGCTCTAGTAAACAAGGTATGCAAATAAATATACTGTTTGAATTTTGTTCAGTTAAGAAGACAGGGACACTTTCTTTTCTCTCTTTATCTTAACAGTATTACTGCCGAATCAATAATTATTACTCTATTGAATGGTAAATAAGGACTACGTACTTAACTTCCTTAATACTTATGATCGCCTAGTACATATAATGACATCACATTGGGTACTCTTAGTAAATAATGAAAAGTGTCACACTTTTTTCCGTCTAACATTCATTTGCCAAGTGTTTCTAGTTTAACGTGCGATAAGGAACTTTGTTCCAAAAATTATTTAAAGTTACAACATTTCAAAAGTATTATATTTTAATTTATAAAAGTTTTGCTCTAAAAATTTAATATTTATTTTCAGGTGCTCTAGTCTCAGCGGGCTTTAAAGTGTCGACAACGGTCCGTCCCGAAGACTCCGTAAAAGAAGATAGAGACGATGCGTCATCTGTTAATAAGACTGATTTGGAAGATATATCACGTTTTGATACATTGAGGAAAACGTATAGGTACGTTGGGTTAATTAAGTAAAATGCTGTATTGTATATGATTAGGGTTTGTTATATAGAAATACGCTTTTCAATTAGCGTATGATCTCTTACATATTTCCATAATTAGTATGATGTTAGCCAATAATAGGAACCATAGAAACAGTTTCTTGAGTAAAAATATAGAGATAGATAGATAAATACTTTATTGCACACGCAAAAGTAGAGTACAAAAGATGAAAAGAAAAATAACAAAAAGACATGCAAATGCGGTCTTATTGCTAAGAGCAATCTCTTACAGATATCCTTTGGTGAAAGGATTAGTGGAACCGTAGATGGGACGATACAATTAATAAAGACTAAATACAAGCATGATAAGTAATGTTAGGTTTGGATGGGGAGTAAATTCATGTAAGTCGTCATCGACATGGTCACGTGACGTGTTAACGCTACACTCATACTGCCGGTAGATGTCAAGACCAGATAAATGTAAACAGTTTAATTTTACAGATTTTAGTTTAAGACCAAAAAATGAATTTGAATATCCAAAAATAGTAACTGTTTGTTTATAGTTTTAAATTTTCACTTCTGTCGGCAGTCCTCATGACTGCTCTTTATTGTTAAAATTAGTTTCGTCTTTGTGTTGATATAATATATGGCAAAGTAAATGTCAATTAATTTTTTAATAATTTTTTTATTGCATATCAACTTTTTTTTAAAATGATTCACAGTCAAGAGGATATGTCGGAGTGGACTGATGCAGAGCGGCGTATCGGTGAACTGTAAGTAGTTTTACTTTATTTTTGATAGTTAGCACAGGAAATATGTAAAATGGATTTTTTGGATTAATTCAAAACCCTTTATTGAATAAAAATATTCGATAAAGGTCAGAGTCTGAATCGGAGTGCTTAGAATTCTTTTTCTGTATAAAATATAATACTTTCCTAAATCCTAAATATTTAATTTCAGCACTCTATCAGAAGCAAGGTCTGTAGGCGGGACTTTACCAGCCAGTACTGGGAGAGCTGCTTCGTCAACAAGACTTACACATCAGGTATGATTTGATCTGATCTCTTCACAGTTTTATATTTTTTTTGCACTCATGGCACAAAATGTCCATTTAGAAATTAGAAAATAAAATTGCATCAAATTCTTAAGTTATTTAGTAAAAAAATTACAGTTTGATCTTAATTTATCATTAAATTTAAATAAGTGAGTATATTGCATAATTAAATTAAGAACAATATATATTAAATTGCTAATAATAACCATCTTATTAAAATCTTCATATGTGTATGTAAATAATACTAGGAGGCAAACACGATGGCTGAACGCGACCTTGGCTCCACTTTCCTCCTGCCCCACGTGCACCTCTATAAACCTGATCTTGTGGGTATTTGCACTATTTCACAGTAACACTTTTCATTTAACTTTAATTCTAAAATATAACTTCCTAATTATATACTAATTTAAATTAAAAAAAAAATATAAAATATTTCTTTTAACAGAAATCTATATAATAAAATATATGTATATGTAATAAAATTCTGAGTCGAATCTGTACATCAAATATTAAAAAAAAAATATTGAAATAGTCATTATTCGATATTAACGATATCGATATACAGGGCCGAATCTATAGTTTTTAGAATTTTTTGTCTGTCTGTCTGTCTGTCTGACTCTCTTGGAACGCGTCACGGGACCACTGACCGGAACCACTGGACAGATTTTGATAAAGGTATGTAGGATGATAAGGTATCCGGGTTAACTCATAGAATACTTTTTATTGCGAGAACATATCTCATTTCTGAGAAATCTATAATAATATAACTTAATTGTTATATGTAGAGTTTGTTCCAAAAGCTACTACTAAAGTATTAGAGTTTAGTAAAAGCAGTGAAATATATTTTTATTAATGTGTGCCATAAAACATCTTTTTAAGTTTACATATACTACCTACCCAGTAAATAAATTTATTATTTTGATTTAAGCTTAGTTACCATTCATATATTTTAAATCCTTTTGAGCTCTATAAAGAGATCAGAGGTTAAATAATAATGAATGTACATAGAACTTTATTATTTAAATTAATAATAATGACCTCTTTTTCAGACGAGCGATGTTTCCGAGTTCGATTCCTTGTGAAGACTGTCAACTAAATCAATTTTAAAATAAAATGTCACATTACAGAGGCTATATTTGATTTTCTATAATTTTGAATGAAATTCATCCAAAAGTTACCAAAATTTCTACAAATGACATTTTTCAGAGACTAACTTAATTTATTTTGTAGCTTAATTATATGAAGTGATTATTTATTATGATTATAAATATAAAAATATACTTACTATCGAATGTAAAATGGTTTTCAAAAAAAAATAACCAATGCACATTACAATTTAAAATACATATATTATAAATTTTATAATCACCACTCAAAATAACTGAACTGATATAAAGGGTAAATGATAAATAAACAAAATTCTTTCGGGAAAAGGAATTTTTTAGCTTACTTACTTTACTAAAGCCGCGTTGACGCGCTCAAAGTCTGCTTTGACAACGTAGTTTTGTTCAAAGTTTACTTGGATACCTGTGGAGGCGCTTAATGTCTGATTTGACGAAGTAGCTTTGACAAAAAGCTTTGAAATGAAGTTTTTTATGATAAACACGGCTCCAAGTTCACTTTGATTGAGCACCCACGTCAAAGTGCGCTTTGAGTGTTCGTTTACATGATCAAAGTTGCGTCAAAGTAGTCATCAAAACTACTTTGTTAAAGTAGACTTTGATCGTGTCAACGCAGCTTAAAACATTTAACCGCCAAAGTAGATAATACATTTGATTCTTTCATACAAAATATAAAATGCCATAATATATATAAGCATATGTAGATGTAAGTATCCAATGAAAGTAATTTGAATAAGAAATTGTATTTTTATATAAAAATACCGACTACAAAAATTTCTTGTTTGAATATTTTCGTTGGTTTATTTGAAAAATTGTGCAAAAATGTGCCAATGTATTTAGCAAATGTTTATATAAATATTTACGAAAGATATTAAAAGTTTGTCTGTCCGTCTGTGTTGTAATATCTACATGATATATGTATATCAATATTATATTCGTTACAGTTTTATGATATTGTGTTGTTACTTTACTTATGAGATATGTCAACGTTTTGATACTCTCTTCCGTGTACTAGCTTAAGTTATTTATTTTTTAATAAATTTTATTACTATACAAATTTTTTTATTTATCTACATACATATAATAAAATTCTAACTTGTCGAATCTGTACATTAAATATTTTTTGAAAAATCTAATTTATATAATATATATAAATTAATCTTTATATATATAAATTAATCTTGATGATATTTGGTATGATAATAGCTGGTTATCCGGATCAACATATAGGATACTTTTACTGCGGGAAAAAGTCCCATCTCTGAGAAATCTATACTAAACGGTAAAACATAACTGACCCGCTAGTTTTACCATATTATAATATATAGACATTATTTACTTTACCAATGACAAAAATTTAAGCATATTTGTATATAAAAAGCTATAATATTCAATACAAGATTTACTTAACGTATATTACATATATAATATATGATGTACAGTAATAAAATTGATACACATAAATTGATACATATAAAAATTAGCGTCTTAAAAGTGTCCTTAAAAAGAATCACTCAATTCGAAATTATGCACTTTTTTCAAATCTCTTTTGTTCTTTGCTTTTCAGATGTCAGAACTAAAACGTACGTTGCTTCGTTTAAATAAGTACTTTATGCGGTGTGCGTGAGTTTGAATTTGGGTTTTTTATTATTAGAACCTTCGATTTTTAATTTTATTCTTTGGTTTAACTTATGTCGTCTGATGTCGACGCCACTTTTTGAAGAGATATTTGTTAGGAAATGTTGTATGTTTTTATATATCAAAGCTTATTGAGTACTTTTGTAACATTAACTTATATCTTTTATAATCGTTCAGTATGTCTGTCCGATTGGAATCTACCACCGGCTCGGAAAGCAGTTCTGCTAAGAAGAGCCGGCGAGAAAATCAAGTTACTCTTTTAAATAATTAGTGACATAATTTATAATAATAATTTACAGTATTAAAATAACAAATATCCACGTTTTTTTTATTTTTTTTAAATACATTCTTATCGGCCAAGGTTACATAAATAAATGATTTATATATAAATCATTACAAATTAATCAAATATACAATTTTTCATTAAAACGCTCATATATAAAATGCAATTTTATAATAGTTATATTTGTTGTAGAGCTATTTAGATACTGTTCCAACCCTTGTAGATAAGCCTTTTATTCGATTGCTAATATCTGGTGTTCTTCTTTACGTGCACATTTACTATTGCCACAGATCATATAATACTATACTTAGTATATTGCTTAATGCTTACTATAAAAATATCTAGATTAGTAAGAAATAAAACATTTTAGTATGTATATGTAAAAAAAATAATCGTTTAATAGCATTGGCATGGATAGTCACGCTGACAAAGTGGTAAAATAAAATCTTAAAAAAAAAATGTACCTCCTCAACACGTAAAGTAGGTTTTTTTCATAATGATGATAAATATTTGATAACTAATATATATACAACAGGAATAAATAAGATAGGTTATTTAAATAAAACACCAAGTTAAATATGAGACATAGCGTTTTTATTTAATATTCAATAATTTAGTTTATCGATAGAATATTTAGCAATATTACAAATACAACGTGAAACAATCGTAGCAACTTAATCGATTTAAACTTAATATAGCAACGCACTAGCTTTATAATTAACATTAATTTAAGCACACCGATTCTTAAACAAATTAACTATCATCATCATTGACTCCTGCTCAGGGAATCAAAGTCTGACCTAAAAACAACTGCTTTACAAAAAGCAAGTGATTATCACTAAGCCGTTTGCCCTAAAAAAGTCTAGATCTTATCATCTTCAGTCTCAAACCTTAAGAATTTATAACGAACTCCGAAATATTCAAACCCATTCTCCTTTACAAAAACCATCGAATATTACTTTACTTATTACATAACATTTGAAGTGAGCAAGCGCTGTTATTTAAATTCACGATCAACTTAAGTTTAAATGATAACCAAATTCTGTACCAAATTTTCTTTAGAAACAATTTTTTTTCATACAAACAAACAATAAATAAATAAACATGACTAGATTAAATGCTGATCGTGAATGATAAATTAATCTTATATTACATTTTGTATCTACCTATCTAATTAATTCAGAAATTGTGCAAGAATCGAAACCAATTCACATATCGTCCGTACAACGTCTACGTTGAAAGCTTTAGTATAGTTTAAGCAGGACATTTAGTTCCGGTATCCAATTCAGCTTCTAAAACATTATCAAAATGATTATCAGAAACGATTCTACTTACATTTATTCTTATAAAATAGTTGATATTTTCTACATCGTTAACATCATCGAGTAAGCGAATATTTTCAAGACTAACAAGCTAAGCGCTATCTATAGAGGTTAGTAGGTCAAGTAAGATGGACCGATGTCGATAAACGACGGTACAGTACAAAATTTAGTACCAAAATACATCCAAAATTCATTATATACGTTTCGTATGCCTAATGTCATCAGATTCCTGCATTTACAAGTGTATTGGTCACGTTTGATTGGAAATTTTTTATTATCTGTTTTATAGTTACAAATAAAATTCGTGTCAGTTGTGAGTTGACTACTCATGATATTGATTTCATTTATTTTTGTTACAAGTCAAATGTAATTTAAAGTTTTCCGTGTTATAGTTTAGCTTTTATGTAAGTTACTTAGGTAATTTTGCAACGATGTTCAATTAGGAATAGCAAACAGTGCTTTATTCGCTAAGCCTAAGCTGGTAATGTTATATCTGTGAAAAAAATGAAAAAAAAATGATCTACTTCTTAGATTCATCTAAACTTGATCGTGTCGGTTTTGGAATCATTGAAAGGGATCTGGAAAGATAAGAGAAATTATGTAATTTACGCAATGACTATTATGACTGTGAAAATTTTATCTTCTTTTTTAATCTATAGTTAGATTTTTTTATATTAAATTAATTAAAATTGTTAAAATATGTTAATAACAATTAAAAAAAAAGTAAAAATTTTCACAACATTTGTTACTCTAAAATCCCTTTCCATGCTATATGAACAGCAAATCACCCTTTATAAATCAACTAAAAATGATATTTTATAATATCAAAACCAAAACCTATCAAAGAAGCGTTTACTAAATATATGCGTATGATATAGTCAAAACTGGTGAAAGGCAAATTAAACGCAGTAAGCAATACAATATAAACAGTGTACCTATTGGCCGAGTTTTTCTTGCGAGTGACTTAAACAATAGCAGCTGCAATGATAATATTTGCATTTTAGTAGGTACATATCGGACAGGGTAACTAACTAAATTAAGAAAAAAATGTATTAGCGAAAACCAAATTAAAGGTACAAATATATACAAAATAAAAGAATTAAAAACTTTAATAGATTTTTAAGATTTTCTTATTTTGGCAGTCAATATAATACGGGAAATAGCATATGAATAAATAAATAGTAAAATAGCAATGTTAGATAACGTTTGCGATTGTGATGTTAATTAAATATAATTTTTTCTAGTCATAATCATTTAAAGAGTACCTTCTCTGTGCAGGAATCGGTTGTGAGGGTTGAGTCGTGGGCGGGAGTGATGCGGGACAGCTTCCAGATAATGTTGGAGGTTCTTTTTCTTCGTCTTCTTGTTTTTCTCCTAGTAGAACAATGAATCGAGTCAAATATATTTTAATAGTTACGGATAAGTTGTCGTTCCAAAAATGTTGTAGAATAGGCATTTTGAAATATTTAATGAAATGACAAATTTAATCATCAAAACATATAACCTGCAATTTTAGTACTATTTTATAATCATTGAAGTACCTGTTCTAAAAAATATTAATGTGGAAAGACATATTATGAGTCCCCTGGATTAGATATAAATGGCATCCAACATATTTAAAGTGGAGGTGAGGTACAGATTAAATGATATTATGATGTTACTGAGATTAGCCATCTATGCCGACACACACTTCCTACACAGCAGAAGAAGAAGTCTTCCAAAAAGTGATAGATCAATGGAATTCTAAGCCGACACGGAGAGAATCAAACCGCAGGACTAACAGGTTTTAGTGACCGCCATATACCCACCATTTACTTTTATCTCCATATACCCTATATAAAAGCGTATATCTTTAGATAGAAAAAATTGTTTAACATTACCTTTAAGAATAGGCGTATCGCCGATGTAAAAGGTGGGAGCGGGAGCTTCCACCGTCGCCTCTCGCACGGAGCCATCTCCGCTGACGGCGCTAAGCGTGTCCGTACTGTCGAACATTATGGTACGTTCCTTAGCTCGTGGAATGCGGCTGTCGAGCTCCTACAAATTCAGCCGAAGAAATGGAAGTTATATATTTTTTTATGAAAAAAGGAATGTTATTTTATACCTAAAATTTGGAAAATTCTAGATTTTAACACAATTATTGTGATTTATAAATCACAAATAGATTTTGAACTATAAGTTATTATTGCCCAATTTTTTTAGCGAATTTGAAATCACAATCATGTTAGTAGCGTCACTTACCAATCTTTCAGTATCAGAATCGGGTTCCTGGACCCCATGATCTTGGGAACAATGTTCACTTGTAGACTGGTGTTCTAGACTTTCCATCTGAACTGCCGTCACGGCGTCCAAGGTGTCAAGTGAGGACACCATGGTGTTCGACCCTGGAGGGCGCGCTATGTTATCTTTCTGATTAGTATCAAGCTCGGCAAAAAGCATAGAAGCTAATGGAATAATGTGTTAACTAGTATGATTGTGAATTGATTTTTGGCTGATATTTTATGTGATTATTAATATTTCATATAAAGCTTTATATTAAAATATGAATATAACCAATATATTATAAAATGTAAGTTTAGTTCTTTATTAGGTGCAAAAGGACGAAAAGGTTTTAAGCTATAAAATATTCGACCTTCTAATGTAAATATTATAGCTGTCATAAATCTTATGCGAGCTATTTTATTTAGAATGAGTTTATTAAAAAATATTGGTTTATAATGTTTAGTTTTGGTAGATGAGAAAAAAAATATTTTGTGCAATTTATGTTAAGATAATAATTATTTTTTTTTGTGAACACTTCTTGAGTACAATTCGGTATATCAGAATAGTTTCTATTTTTGAGTAAACACACTATCCATTATTATATTTCAATGATATTATACTAGAAGCGGGTATGGATACATCTGCAATGTTAATGGGTCATATCATAATTAATGAACACATAAATCTCATGCTAAATAGATAATTGTATTAAATTGTAAGTACAAGTGTTTTTTTTTCAATATTATATGATAAAATGCAATGCGAATATTTAAAGAAGCAAAGAATTTAAGTTTTTAAATAAAATACAAAATAAATCATTTGCATTGCATTGTATCACATTATATTGCAGTGAAAAATCAACTGAAATATTTGCATGATTTTTTAATTTTTATGAATAATGTTGAGCCAATAAGGAAGTACATCAATAAAGTGATCCATGCTGTGATATAAGATCCAGTTTTAGAAGGTACATACTAAACTTTTACGAACGCTTACAATTGATTAGTAAGTTTCGAGGACATTATTGATAAACTATACTAATAAAATTTTGAAGATAATTTCATTAAAATCTGTAAATAAATACTGCTCAGCTAGTAAGCTTCGTTATACATTTTATACATAAGATATATTATTATTGGTTATTATAAGTTGTAATAATGGAAAGCCTTTATAACTTACCTCCTGAAGTAAGACTACCCGTCATAGGAGTATCGACTTCATAATTGTATGTTGCTCGGGTCGCGTTCGAGCTTGTTGCTTCTAAACTATCTGTACTCCCTAACATCATATCCGCACGAGCGCTGCAAATGTTTATGAAATATAAAATTATAATATCATCTTTGATTTCTTTAAATGAGTTAAAAAGTTGTGCTAATCTTAGAAATAAACTAACTTTTATCTTCGACTTCATACTACTGTATGCATATACTGTACTTATATATCTATCAACCATGGATCATATAATACAATGAAGTCAAGTTATATAAATTATTTAGGAATTTTTCATTCAGTAAATAAGATCAATGGCAATACCAATATATACAAAAAGTAAAGTGTACGTAGTATTACACATCAAACAGACAAACCATGAAGAAACTACTTCATATACATATATGATAATTAATAATATACGACATATTAGACGAAATTTTGTACTTACCGACTAAAACTTCCCGACGAACTCAATTCCTCATCTTGACCACTCCAGGAACCGCTAGCTGGATCTGTGAAATGTTTGCCGGAGATAATACTGTGAGCCACCGACCTCCCAGAGGAGGGCGACAGCTCACGTATTGCACTTCCCTCTCTTGAGAATTCCAAATCTTCAGGTTTATCTTCGTAACGTTCGGAAGATGTTATTATTGTGTGCTTTGAAAATGATACTACTTCACTGTCAGATGGATGTCTTTCAATAATTGTCATTAAGCTGTCCATTTCTGAGGGCTGTGATGCTAAAGATGAAGACATTTCGGATCCTAAAGACATTGTACTTTCTTCATATAAATGAGATCTAGCTGGGATTTCTATACCTTGCACATCATCTACACTTGTTGAAAAGGTTTCTAAAACGTGTTTGTCATCGGTAAACTTTTCTCGTATTACAGTCGTTGTTTGCACTATTTTTACTGTATCACTTTCAGTTTGTATTTCTTGGTCTTCATGTTTTTTAGATTTTTCTTCTTGATCTAAAATTTTCATCATTTCTTCACAGTCTCCTGGAATAGATTCAGCTGAACCATCACTAGGTGCTGCAGCGCAAACAAATGATGAAGCTTTTTGACATTCTTCAACAACTTCACATGTTTTTGGTTCTGATGTTCCTGGTTCTGGTTCTGGCACAAAAAAGGCACCTTTGTCATCAAATTTTTTTACAGTTATGATTTTAGGTCGGTATTCTTGAATCCTTTGTTCTAAAGCCAATTGTTGATCAATAATTTTTCTAATAGCTACCGAATCAGCTAAAAATTTTTGTGATGGGCTACCATAACTTCCAATCTTCTGGGACGGGCTTCCACCTTTTTGAGATGGACTGCCACTTTTTTGTCCGGGACTACCACTTTTAAATGGTGGACTACTTTCACTACTGCTATCATAGGAACGTTTTTCTTGTTCTAGAAAACTACCACTTACTACTTTAGGATCGGCAAGTAATAAAGCTTCCTTTTGTTTTGCGAGTAATTCAGCCTTTAACGCTTCAAGGCACGCAGTTTCAAGCCCTTCAAACTCTTTTAAACTTGATATTGATATATCATCTCCCTGGCTTTTACTTAAGATATATCGACGAGGCAAAGATCCATTTAAAGAATCTTGAGATGATGAAGAATGTTGTTGATATTGCTCCATTAGAGCTCTTTCAAGATTCTCAAATTCTTGTAACGAACTAATAGAAATATCATCGTTTTCGCCTTTTATCCTAAATCTCATACGAGAAGCCATTTCAGACTCCGAGAGACTTCCATAAGAATTTCTAAAACTGCCATAACTACCAATAGATTCTTTTTGAGAACTCAGGCTTCCTATTCTACTGGCATCAAAATCAGTCATTTCTTCTTCTTTAATATCTTCTAAAGGAATCCTTTCATAGTCATACCTAGGATCACCTTCAAACTGCATTTGTATCCAACGCTTACCGGCTTCAATTTCAGCTAATTCTTGAGCTTGTAGACGTTTTTGTTCCAGTTCACATTGCTCTTCATCAGATAGAGACCCAGACGCACTGCTTATACTTTCTTGCTTTTTAGATGTCTTTGATAAATATTCCTCTACTTCAATGTCATGACGTTTTACGTATTTTTGTGCTTTTATTTTTAAACTTTTTCCCTCAGGATCAGTTTCTTCGGCTTCTTTAGCAACTTCTTCAATTACAACAAAATCATCCATTTCACTAGGCTTATCAACCATTTCGAATTCGTCGCTAGTTGGTGATTCCTGTTCTTTTTCATAAGTATATAAAGTTTTTTCTTCAGTTGTGATAACAAGTTCCGATTTGCTGGTTTCCGTCATCAATTCAGATTTTAATTCAGGTGTTTCTGAGATATCGTACATGTCATCCAGAACGTATTCTCGTCCATTATCGGTAGATAACGAACTTTGACTTGGTGCTGATAGAGGTGTATGTGGGGTTGAAAGATGTTCATTAGTTTTTAAACTTGATGTAGAGCTTTGTTTACTTTCCAAATGATCTTCTAAATTTTTTAAACCAGATTTTTCAGCTTTAGTCTTAGGTACTGATGAATCACTCTTCGATTTTAATATTTCTTCATATTGTTTTGTACCCATTGGAATAATATCGTCCTCAACGTCGACGAATTCTCTTTGACTAGGCGGTCTTTCTGTGATAGGAAAGGGAATAGTACTTATTTCTTCAATCGTTTTCTTTACACATTCTTCTTTGACTTCTTGCAATGGTTCACTAGCTTTACTTTTAGGCACACTTTCTTCCTCTTTTATAACAGTTTTTACTATAGTTGAATCATCATGAGCTATTTTTGAAGTTTTAGTAGTTATACTGCCAAACTTCTGTATTTCTTCGTACTCTGCCGAGCCCACGGGTATAATTTCAGATTCTACATCAACAAACTCTCTTTGTGGTTTATCAATTTTTGTAACAGAAAATGGTACAGCATGCTCAGTACGTATGGAAGCTTTTGAAATTGTTTCTTGAATTTCTTCCTTATCTAAGTCAAATTGGGATTGAGATGAAGATACGTCAATTTTGGATATTGAAGATGATAAAATTTCATCGGTTTTGAACTGACTGGATATTGTCGTATCTGATACTTCTTTATCTTTTAGAGAGTCATCATCTAATTCAATACTTTCTGAAGTTCCTTCTAAAGGAAAATGTTCAGGTATCATTTCTTTAGGTTGGAATCGCATTTCATGAGATCTTTTCATTTTTCCAACGGGTTCAACATTATTATCACCCTTATACTCATCATCTTCTCCAGATATATCCTCATCACTTACTTCTTTTACTTTCAAAACTTGCACTTTTTCGGACTCATGAAGAAATTGTTCAACATATGTACTACTTTCCATTAACTCTTCCTTTAATTCATTCGCTGAAGGTACCAGAGTTTCAGAAGCATCTGATATGTCTATGCTAGCTACATGGCTTGATCCGTCTGAATCCAGACTTCTCATGCTATCTCGTGATGCAAGGGAACTTCCCGCTGTGTAATAATCTTTTGATGTCCTCAATGATTGAGATGAAACATCGTGGCTCGTAAGTGCTGTTTCATATTCAGTACCACTTTGAGCAGTTATCATTACATCCACATCCGAAGATAGGGGTCTACTTTCAGAGTGTTCAAAACTGTGATAGTGACTCTCTCCAGAGCTTGACCAGCCTTCGATATCTGATGCTGATCGTCTTTCTATAACACCTAATTGTGACTTAATATGTTTATGAGCTCGTAGTTTTACTTCAGGGCTACCTTTGGAAGATCCATTTTTGTCAGAGGAAATAATATCACTCTCTGTCTCTAATATAGAATGAGGGCCACTATCAGATCTGATAGAAATATCTGCTTCTAGAGGTGGACTAGATTCTTTTTGGTGAACTGTATCTTTATCCTCGTCAGAAAATGTAGTTTCTTCATGTGAACTTGCTATTTGAGATACGATATCTGACTTTTGACTGTCCATTGTCTTTTCTTCTTTATCTGGCATTGCAATTATTTTCTCACTATGATCATCTATATGATGGGGTTCCTCCTTAATTACTTCTGGTCTATCTGGACTAATTAGAAGTTTGAACTGAAACTCTGACGGAGATTGTTTATATTTAATACTGCCATCACTTTTTTCGCTAATGATTTCAACTTGCGCTGCTTCTAAAGACTGCTTAACTTCATCTATAGTTTTTTCTAAAACTGATAAGTCAGCAAGAGGCTGAGTAGATATTAATGAATCTAAAGTTACCCTTTCAGACTCAAGTTTCATCCCGTGAAACTCGGCAGAGGAAAAATCTGTATCATAGCCACTACTACATACATCTTCAGTGCTTTTTTCTTTTACTAATTTAATTTCTTCTTTTTTCTGATCTGTTCCAGTATGAAAAACTGAATCAGCCTCTGTTGAAAACTCTGATGCCTGTAATGTTTCAGCACTAACTGTTGAATCTATTGATTTTTGTAAAACTTCACCTTCATGAGATTCTAAAGATTTTACCATGTATTCAGTATCGACGCTTTCGCCAGATTTTATCATAACGTCTTTGGATGTTGTGCTAATGTCATCAGAAATTTCTACTGTACTAGGGGATGCGTCTCCAAATTTAAGAGTTTTTGAGCTAATGTCATCAACTTTAGCTTCAGCAGCTTCTTTTAATTGCAACGGTTCATCAGTAGTGTCAGTCACCGTAGTTGATTTAATTAGCGATTCTGACTCGGGCATTGTAGTCTGTGTTAAATCTTCAATTACACTTGAACCTTCTTTACAAATAGATACTTCTAATATTAAGTCTTCTGATTGATTAAGTGGTAATTTAATCGGAGACTTACTGATTTTTTCTTTTTTTGGTGTATCACTTAGCTTATCATCATGAGGTAATTCTGGTACTACTTCAGACTCAGAATGAGTGTCTTGACTTCCTGTACGACTGAATGTACTTTTAACTGGAGAAGTTGATATCTTTATTTCTTTTATAAAATCAACTTCATATACTTCATCATCTTTTTTAAACGATTTTGATTTACTTTTTGGACTTGCTTCTGATGAACCTCGCCTTTCTGCTGTTTCACTTTTAAAACTAGGAACATGTGAAGCATCTGAGCTGAGATCATCGTGCTCTTTACTTTCTATAACAGATTCTTCCTTAAAGTGCTCTATCTTTGAGCTTACTACTTGGCCTTTCTCAGATACTTCAACGCTAGAAACGGTTTCATCTTTTTCAACTATTTTTAAGCTTGACTCAATAAATGCTATTCTTGACTTAATATCGTCATCTTCTTTGATATCTTCTAACTCGCCTGGTTCCGTAAAGTACTCTTTACCCCATTGTTCGTGAGATAAATCTCTTTCCGATATTTTAACTTCATGTTTTTTCTTAACTGTTTCGTCTTTTAAAGCGGTCATTCTCTCTTCTGACTTGGTTTGTCTTCCACTATAAAGTCCTTGTTCAGAAAATTCTCTTTCTACTTTGACTATATCCGTATCATCAGTGCTCTTAAATAAAGTTTTGGTTTCTACATCAGATCGCTTCGCAGTCGCTTCATGAGCTTTTTCCATTTTCTTTTCAGATGTTTCTGTTTGATCTCCATCTCTCTTGACAACCATCTTTTCTTTAAGTTCGTGTTCTTGTCCTCGTAATTCATGGCTCGTTTCGGTTTTGATTATTAAAGAATCATCATCTGAAGATGATACTTGTTTCGTTTCAGTGAAAAATTCTTGTCCTGATATTTTTCTTGTTTCTGTCTCTTTGTGAGAAAGTACCGTGCTATATTCGCTCGTAGTACCAAATTTAGCAATCATGTCTGACATAACAGCTTCTGGATCTATATTTTGAAACTTTAATTGAGAACCTTCTATAGTTTTATGAACTGATGAAGAAGAGGTAGAAGTTTCAATTCTGGATTCTGAATAAAAAGTATCTGTTGAAGTAGATTTATGTATTTCTTCCTCCATCTCCTTCTTAATTTGATCAATTACGTCAATACTTTTTTCAATTGTTCGATCTACTAGCTCAATAGCACCGCTAGTTATAGTAGGCTTATCAACATTGACAAATGATAAATTATCAGCCACATGTTTTGTTGGCGACTTCGGCCTAGCGGCTTCACTTAAAGCTTTAGAGGCTTCTGTTAGTAGTTCTGAAAAGATAAACAAAATGTAACATAAATAAACAATAGGAAAAAAATTGAAAGTGTGCTAAAATATATTGGTATCAATGTGTTTTTAATTATTATTCTATTTTAAGTATAAATATTAAAAATAAAATAGGTGTATATACATATTATAAAAAATATACACATGTATAATTTTAAAGCTATTAAAGAACAATGAGTGGCATGATATAAATAATGATCGCACTTTAACATTTTATAGAGGTATTTAGTGATTCTTTGTGAGAAGAGAATTATGATACCTAGATTGGTAGTGAGAAAAGCTCATGTGAAGGCAAAATGTAAAATAAATTAAGAAAAATGTTTGAATCAAAGCGAAACATTACTCACAAGTGAACATTAATGTAAAGTGGAAATAAAAATTGATAGCTAATCAATAACAAATAAACCAATTGATATTATTTATTTAAAAAAGCAACATTCATGAAATATCAAGATAATGGCCCCTCCAATCGTGTACACTTACCTAAGCAACGTGAGGACTCCGCAAGAAAGAAAGTAAATTTTACTGTGCGTCAAATATTGGCATAACTATTGTGTCTATTGCAAATGAATTTTAATGCTCTCAATTAAATGTATTTTTTTTCTTTTTATTTAACATGTGCTTTTTTATTAGCTACCTTTCTAATCTAGGTGCTTATTGTAATTGATCTCTCCAATCTGTAGCTTCGACAGTGAAATCGTATTATAATTAATAACTAAACAAATTAATAGATTAATGACTAAACAAAATTTAAATTTCATGCAATACTCGGCCCAACAAAAAGTGTGGCAAAAGAATACTTTAACCAGGTTATTTTTGAGGATGAGTAAGGTTTCGCTGTGATTCTACTTTGCCACGATCTAACGCAATATTAAAATAATCTATAACCCTTATGACTTAAACTTACAACATTGTTAATAAATTTGGACTTTTAAATATAAGATGATGTTTTTGTATATATGTATATTATTAGCATAAAAATATAAATATAATTGTTAATAAAATAAACATTTTCACTAATTTAGCATAATATGAATGATACTTGGCATATGATTACTATCACGATTATATGGAGGTTACTATCAAGATTACGCTTTAATTTTTTTCCAACTTACCGCTTTGGTGAGCCTCAGTTTCACTTAACATACTGTCTCCAGCCGACGATGCTCTAGGAGAAGTTCGACTTGCATCGAGGAAAGATGAATCGGAACCTAAGTAGTACTAAAAATTAGAATCTAATCTACAAGCTGACATGTATGATTATTGTGTTTAGGCACAATAAACCTATTTTATATTCAAGGTGCAGTTGTGTTAATGTTGCGTGATTAAAACAAAAACTGTAGAAATGAGAATTTTTGGTCATCTGAATAAAAATGTTATTAGTTTTTGTGGTAATGTTCTATGCATAATAGAATATAACTTAACATAAATACCTTTAGGTTGTAGTCCACTTTGTTTATCAGTTGCACTATCGTCTGACTTAGCTCTTTCTTTCATAATTAAGTCCACAGGTGAAGGTGGTGGAGTTTTTGAAAATTTTGATGATAAATCTGAAAAACAGATACATGCATGTATTATATATTGCTTTAAAAATATGACTATAATGAAATTATAATAATATTATAATCAAAGTACCATGTGTTACATGACTGGAATCAATCCTAATGAGAGCACCTTGGGAAGAGATATCTTCTAATAAATTGGAACACCTCCTATTCAATTCTTTCATATCTGGTACTTCGTCTTCCTTTTCGCTTTTTTCCACCTCATCATTTATTTCTGAATCTTCTTTTTTATCTTCAAACATGATTTTTTTGGTTTCTGTTGCAAGTAAATCATCTTTTAAACTTTCACCTTTATCTCTAATTTCTTTAAGAAGCTGATCTTTTATTCCAACAATATCTATTTCTGATATTTTAACTTTCTCAAAAGATTTTTCATCGTGTTCACTGAATAATTTACTTTCTGTCATAATTGAAGTTTCTTGAGAAGAGCTTGTTGAAATATGAATTATCTTGGAAGTGGTGGATCTTTCTTCTTCTACAATATCTTTACTTCTAGTAATGTCTTCTGATACGTCAGATGCCAAAGTTTTCGAGACATCAAATGACGAATGTTCTTCAGAAAATGTTTTTTCATCGATTGATCTTGAGATTTCTTTAACACTATCGATTGAAGCCTTTGAGAAATCTTTCGTTAAATCAACTGTTGAATCTTTAGAAAGTTCATTTGTTGCAAAATCTCGAGAAGTATCTTTACTATCTATTGAAGATTTTGAATAATCTTTGGTTAGATCAATAGATTTTTTTGATAAATCTGGAGTGCCTCGATCTTCAATTTGATCATCCGTCCTGTAATCTTCCTTTGTATCCATTGATGTTTTAGATGGATCTTTAACAAGGTCGGCTCCACTTATTTTAGATAAATCAGCTGAAGTGCCATCTTCCACAACTGACTTTTGGTCATCATCAGAAGATTTAGTTAAAGTCGATATCACAGTAGTTACTGAAGATTCAGTTGTTGATTTGGATACTAAGTCCATGCGTAAAATGCTATCAACAAAATGAGTTTTCTTTGTAAATTTATCTCCCACTTTATTTTCATCAAATTCCAGTGGTGCGCTTGAACTCGGTGCCGAATCTTGAACTGCTTCATGTCTAAAGTCTGATACAAATGACTCCGATCCTTCGGCATATTTTCCATCATCTTCAAAATATTCAGCCTAAAATATTATTCATGAATAATTAATCGGATATGTTATCAAATTCATATGTTCTATAATATTTTTACAGAATACTATTTGACTAGGAAAAATGGTTAAGATTCTAAAAAAACAAAACAAAGCCTTACTTCTTTTTCTGGGAAATCATCAGCATCATCAAGAGAATCGGTTCGAATTTTCTTTATATCAAAACTAGAAGTAGGTAATTTTCCGTCCACGTCAGAGGAAGGTTCAATAATTTCTAACACTTTCGCTTTATCCATATCTAGAAAATATAACCAAAACATATATTATGATTTTTTATTACTTAAATATAGAATATTATTTGAATAATTATATTTATTTAATTGGGCATTATTGATCGTTCTGACATGCATTTTTAATTAAATAAGTTACAAAATTGAGAATATGTCAAATATACTAGTAATAGGAACGAAGATCCCTATCGCGTGTTATACTCGGTACACTTGGGGAATGAGAGTAAGACGAAAAGAGTGTAATATTTCGTCGACCATTACGATACTTTTTATTATTCACTAAAAGCACCCCATGTGACGTCATCATAAGTACCAGAAAATCATAAGTGTTAAGGAATGTATGTACATATGTAGTTAGTAGTTCGCATGCTCGTTTATGACGGGGCGCTACATACTCTTATTTAAGGCATATCTGATATTCCTTGAGATAAGGGGACCACACATTAGTGCACTCTAGTGACAATTATTGCCACCAGATACCAAAGAGCAGGCCATAATATGACGTCATCTTAAGTACAAGGCGATTATAAGTGTTAAGGAATGTATGTTGTACGAAATTCATGTGCATTGTGCAATCTGTGCAGGCCTTTCTTCAATGAGCTTCAATATGTACAATGTACGTTGCTTGATGTTTATGATACCTTAGTGTACTCATGGCAATTTGTGTGACCAATTTTTTATATTAACATATAATATAGACTTTGTATGAACCAAGGGCAGACAGCGATAGGAACTTCGTACCTTCCCACGACATCTTGCTATTTTTTAAATTAATTTATTTAATATTCATACCTGATTCAGAGTCTGTGTAAATTTGCTCTTCAACTTCATCCGGCGAACTCTGCACAGAGAATGTTCTAACTTGTTTCTTTTTAGGCATAATTACTATTTCTCCACTATCTCTTGAAAGGGACTTTATTAAGGCAGGCCTTTCCATTGATGCTTTCGTATCTTCAAATGTAGCAGTTTCTTTTGTAATTTCGACATCCTCGGTTTTCACATCAGCTGATTTTTCTAGATAACTTTCTACAGTATGAACTGCTTCCTCTATAATGGAGTCTACCGAAACTTCACCGTCTAATTCTTTAGATGTTTCTTTTTCTAAAACGCATTCTTCTGATATATCTAAGTCTTCCGACGCTTGTTTTATGATTATTTCTATATTATCAGCCATTTGTTTCATAGCTGAATCAGACTTTTTCAATTCCTGTTTCATTTCGTCTTCTTTAGAAGAATGTGCTGTTTCTTTTTTAACTACATCTTCTTCCATTTCTCTTTCTGACTCTGCAATCCTTTCTAATGAAACCGCTGGACTGATACAAGAATGTCTTCTCTCTTCTTTTTGAGGGACTTTAGTATCATAGAATCTCATTTCTGTTTCAACTATTTCTTTGTTTATTGTTTTAAGGTCTTTATCTATAACTGGACTTCGAGCAGCAGCTACGATAGTTCCTTTTTGAAGGATATCTTCAATAACAGGTTTAACCTGTTCTTTTGTTATTTCTTGCGCATCTTTCAATTCATCTTTTGAAAGATATTCCTCTACATCTGTAGTGTTATCAATAGTTTGAACTATGTCGTGGATTTTTACTATAGCAGCACCAAGCTCGGCTTTGGATGTTTGAGTTTTAGTTACTTGTTTATCAATTGAAAAATCTTTTTTTGAGTCAGGAATGAATTTACTCTCCTCTGTTTCGCATACTTGAGATGGATCTATTATTGTGGAAAGTTTTTCTTTTATTATGACTGGTTCAGATGTTTTACTTGAAAGTATCACGTCATCTTTAACTGATGTTGATTCTTTAATTGTACTTATGTGACTTTCAAAAGATTTTATTGTTTCTGATACTTTGGTAGATATACTTTCTTCACCAGAAGGATATTTAGTTACTTCAGTCACGGTTGTTTTTATTTTTACTTCTCCAGTAGGAGCTTTACTCTCTTCCGTTACAGTTGTTGACGTTATTTCTTCTCCTCCAGGTCCAGTTCTGGTTTTAGTTTTAGTTGAAGTCTTCATGTGCGTCTCGTCTGCTAAATCATCTGATTTCATTAGCATATTTTGAAGTCTATCCTCTAAGCCAGGGCCAGCAACTTCAGATGTGCTTGTTGTAACAATTTCCTCCTCTTCTTCTATTAATTCGATTTCTTCTGATACTCTTTTTGATATAGTAATTTTTCCAGATGGATATTTCGTAGTTTCAGTTACAGTGGTTTTAATTATCTTTTCTCCTGTTGGCATTACAGATGTCTCAGTTACAGTTTCTGTAGTAATTTCTTCTCCTGTAGGCCCTGACACAGTGTCTATTTTTGTCCTCGTTTTACTAGTAGAATCTACGGAAGAAATTTCATCTTTAGTGTCTTTTGACAATTTAATATCTTCCAAAACTTCACTCTTTTCCACTGTTTTTACACATTCTGATACTCTTGTAGAGGTTTTCACTTCTCCCGTTGGAAACGTTGTCGTTTTAGTAACAGTCGTTTTAGTAATTTCATCACCTGATGGAATATTTATAACTTCTGTACGAGTACTTATTGAAATTTTTTCGCCCATTTTCCCATCAATTGTCTCTGTTTCACAAGTTATAGCATCGTCTTTTTCAACCTTTTCTTCCATTTTGTCTTCACTTTCAGATTTTATTTCACCTTTTAAAGGTTCAGAGAATTCCATTGAATGGGTTACGATAGCTTCTTTTTTGTGTGATCTTATATTTTCTGACACTTTAGTAGATACAGTTTCTCTGCCAGAAGGATACTTAACAGTTTCAGTTATAGTTGTTCGTAAAATTTCTTCTCCAGATGGCCCATCACTTATATCTGTAACTGTAGTGATGGTTATTTTTTCTCCAGAGTCACCAGTTTTATATTCTGTGCTTGTAGTAGATTTCTTTTCATCCATTGGTTTTTCATCAGTTTCTAGTGCAATAATATCTTTTTTGATTTTTTCTCTAATTTTCTCTTCACCATGAATTTTAATTTCTCCTTTTAAAGGCTCAGTGGTTTCTTTTATGGATTTATCAATGGATTCTGTTTTGTGTATTCTTGTACTTTCAGATACTTTAGTAGAGACTTTTTCTCTGCCAGACGGAAATTTTGCAGTTTCAGTTACAGTTGTTCGTACAATTTCTTCTCCCGATGGGCCTTCACGAAGATCAGAAACTGTTGTGATGCTTATTTTTTCTCCTGATTCGCCAGATTTATATTCTGTACTCGTTGTAGTTTTTTTTTCATGCGTCTCTTTTGTATCATGTTCAGGTTTAACATCAACAACCTCCTTAGGTTGTATTGATATTTGCACATCTTCTTTTTGCGTAATTTCAGCTGTAATAGCTTTTTCCGGTTGACTAAAAATAATATCATCTTCTTTGAGTTCCTTTGCATATTTACTTAAAACAGTTTCAGACGCAAGTTCACGTTTCAGCTGTTCCTCACGTTCCCTAAGTAGAAATTGTCCAGTAATTTGTTTATCTGGCATAAAGCTGCAAAATATGAATAATTTATATGTACTTTATTTTTAATAAAAAAAATAAAACATTTTTATTTACTCGTTTTAATAATAATATATACCTGACTTCTGCTATATGTGGCAATTTGTGTACATAATCAGTAACATGATCTTCTGGGAAACCTTCTACATCATCTAATGAGTCTCCATGAGTTAACTTGGCTATTTTACCCGGTTCAGTTACCTTGCCTGTAAATAGATATAAAAATATGTTATATGTACATAAATATATATATTTTATAATATATAAATAATTTAAATTATGCTTACTAGGAGATTTGAGTTTTTCTTCAATATCTTCTTTGCTCTCAAACTTTTCTTTTATTATATCTACATGAGTGCCATGCGTTCCAATGTCGTCTTCAGATTCCTCAAATGTATAATCTCTTGATTCAGTAAGACTGTACGCATCTGATAAGCGTTTCTCATCTAAGCGTAGCTCACCTACTGATCCAGATCCAACAGACGTTACAGATTGACGTTTATCTGGTTCAACTACGAGAATAATAATAAAAAATTATAATATTAAAAAAACTTTATATATATATGATGATGTTCTCCTAGCCGATTCCGGCCACGGCGGCCAATCTCATTGAGACTAGCCAACTGCGCAGGAGATATTATAGTGCACAAGTGTACGCGCAGACACAAGTGCACTCTCTATTCCTGTCACTCTCATTACTCCGGTGGGACGACTGCTCGACACGACCAGTGAGAGTTAAGGCGCAGGACCGACGGCTTTACGTGCTCTCCGAGGCACGGGGGTGAAACACCGCCAACTTCCCAACTCCGGGCTGTTACTGAGACTTACTATACAGAACGACTCAATAACTAAACTTGGCTCGACCCGGGACTCGAACCCAGGACCTCCGAGTGTGCAGCCGTACATGCTAGCCACTACACCACCGCGGCAGTCATATATATATATATATATATATATATATATATATATATATATAAATATATATATATATATATTATTATATATATGTATAGAATTATATATAAGAAGAAAAATTATATAAATAAAGAAGTTAAAACTTACCTTTATCCAAAGTATCTCCTTTAGACATTGTATCGATTACTTCGACTTCTTTACATATTTCTTTTACTGTTTTGGTTGGTTCTCTTTCCTTTTCTTTGTCTAACACTTGATCTTCTTTTAGTGGTTCCTCCTCGGAAGAAGTCTTTTTATCTGTCACAGCATCTTCTGAACTAATCCTATCAGAAATGCCTTCAGATGATTTGCGATCGGAAATTTCAATTTCTCTACTACTCTCAGAGGAGATCTTATCCGATGGTTCATCTTTATCAAATGATCGATCTATGTCTTCAGCTTCTGTAACAAACATTTGGAATTCTTGTTTGGCAGATGCTTTTATATCCGCTAAATCACTAAGCTTTGTGATCGATACAGATTCAGTACGTGAGTGGCGTTTGGGTGGCATTTTCTTAAATATTATTTCTGCTTCATCTATTTGTGTTGATGTCGAATCTGAGTCTTGCTTTTGTGATTCTAAAACTTGAGTGTCAATTTTAATAGCTGTAAAACCAATACTTTCCTCGAACTTTTCGTCACCAAAACCACTTCCAGAATCAGCTGTACCTTCATATTCTGCACGTTCATCGAAATCAGATGACGATATTTTGGCTTTGATATCAGACTGATCTGATTTTAAAGAATCTGCTTCAGAATGACGTCTGGAATCTGTATGATCTGAGTCTTCCAATGAATCTGAGTAAATACGTTTAGAAAAGAAACATTCTTGTACAGAATCATCTTCAGGAACTGTTTCGATAAACTGGCGTGCTTTAGCACTGATGACAGGTGATTCTTTGGTAACGACCTTAAAAATAAATCAATATTTATTAAAGGTATTTTGAGGAGCATATACTCAAGTTTTACTCAATAAAAATGCATGTTACCTTTTCGGGTTCTTTAGCTGTTAGTGAAGATACATGGACTTGTGCACTATGTTCACTTTCAAATTTCAAAAATTCAAGAGTCTCATGTCTGGCTTCTTCTGTTATACGAGTTAATTTTTCTTCAGTTTCTACTATTTTTTCTTCATTAATTTGTTTATCTGTCGGTCTGTGTGCAGGACTTAATCCCATCTGGTCATCTAAATCTGAAAACTGCGAAGCTTCATCTAATGAATCGCTTCTATGTTTAGATTCCTTTGAATATATCTGCAAAATGTTAATATATAAAAGTACATAGTTAAATATAAAAAAAAACATACATATTAAATTAATACTTAATTTATAATGCTTATACTACTATACGTTGACTTAAACTCTTAGATTTATATTCATAAACTGTGTTAAAAATAACATTTCCTTTATTTTATTTATATATTTACCTTAGACTCAGTCTGCGATACAAAGCTTACATCCTTCTCTGTACTCTGTTGTAAATCCGCATAGGAATCGGTTTTATCAATTCCAGACGGTAAAGGTGACTCCTGGGAGATCTTTCGGCCTGGAACATCTTGTAAGTCTGATCCAACAGAGTCAGTTTTAGTGTGTTTGCTAATATCAGATTTTGTGCTTGCTATTGAGTGTTGAGTTTCAATCTATAAAAAAAACTATATTGTATCTGACATAAAAATATAAACTAAATTTTACATGGTTTTTATTACAATGTTTTACCTTTTCCTTTAATTTGTCATCAACTGAGACATCTTTTTCTTCTAACGCTTCTGATATTTCTTCTTCACTAACTTGTAACCGAAGTTCATCGGTCAATTGCTTTTCAAGTTTTTGCTCTTTTATAATCACAGCTTGATCATCTTTTTTGTCATCATCGTCTTTCTTTGTATCCTTTACACTGTCTTTTGGTTTTAAGTCAAATGAATCTTTAAGATCAGTACGAGTTTCAAATGAATGTTTAGTAATTTCGAACTTTGATTTTTTATCTTTTTCAACTTTAACAGTTGTTTGGGACTCTGTTTCCGTTTCTGAGTCTGTGGATTTCTTTAAAAATTCACTGTCTTCTTCTGATGATACCTGTACTAATGTGGAGTCAGTTCTCATAGCTTTAGGGAATTGTTTTGGTTTATCATCGAGTTTAATCTTGGAATCAAAATGTTGTATCGTCTCCTTGACAGATTTTACACTGCCGATTTGCTTGTTTGTTTCAATAACAATTATTTGGGTTTCTGTACTTGATATTTGCTTTGATTGGTCTCTAACAAACGCTTGTGTATATTCCAACGCTTGATCTTGTTCTTGTGTATGTCGTTTTAGTGCTTCCTTGGTAAGCTTTATAGTTTTAGACGGTTCGATTGTTGGTTCTTTTGATATTTTTATTTCAAAAGCATTTATTTTATCTTTTAATGGTGCTTCCGCCATATCCTTTGAATCTTCTGTTACTAATTCAGGAGATCTATCACCATCGTCTAATTTTTCTTCTAACCGTGCGCTGTCTATTTCTTTTTGCGAAATCATTTCTTTTGTAAAGGTGTCAGTTTTAGTTTCAAATGTTGTGTGCTTTGTTTCTGATGTTTCAACTGTGATAGATTTTCTTGGGGTAATGGTTACGTTAGAGAAATCACCGGAGGGGAACCTCATGGATTCATTACGCATATGTCTTTGCAAATGCTTGGGTGTAGGTTTGCCTGGCGATGACGGGTCATATTTTCTAAATTGTTCTACTGCCCTTTCTTGTTTTAATTCCTCCTTCTTTTCTTTAACGATTTCTTTACGTACTTCAGTTTCTTTTTCGCCATCTACATCAACTCTTTCTGATGATGGTGAGCTTTTAGGGCGAACAAGTTCCAATTTTGATTCAGCTCTTGCCTAAAAATGTACATAAAGTAAAATTATACATAAAAATAGCTTCAGAAAATTGTTTTGCTCAAAGCTATGCATACCTGTTGCTCGATGTCCTGGAATTTTTTAATGTCTGGCTTAATTTGCGTTTTTATTTCTATAATTTCTTCGCGTAATTCTTTTTTCTGTTTCGATGATGGTATTTTGCTACAACTTAACTTTTTTGTTATTTGTTCTTTCCTCTCTGCCACACTACGTTTTACATCTAAAATGTCCATAAATAAACATGTAGGTATTTTTAAATAAATTTATTTGTATCTATATTTTTTTTATATTATAGCAGTGGTAGGCCACTGGTGACAATCTTGCTTAGAAAATCAAGTAAAGTGGTCTCAAAACCCGGGTCGCACCTCTGATATTATTATGGGCGAATTATTTTCAATAATCGTCTTACGGTGTAAGAACACCATTCCCAGAACACAGATTCTTGTAAGCTTGAGAGAACCTAACTAGTTTTCAAAAGACATGTGAAGATCACCAACTCTAATTTGGCCAGCGTGGTGGACTATGGCCTGGAGCAGAGGGACGTTAAGAAAGGGCCAAACACATTATAAATATGTATTATTTTATGTATATATGTATTATACATAAAATATACTTACCCTCATCTTCTTCACTTTCTTCACTCGGTGTAGGTGTCCTATCCATTTCGCTTTTTTCTACAGATTTTTCTTCGGGTGAATATTTAGCTTCGTCTTGGTCTAAGTCCTCTGTTCTTGTTGTTTCTTCGATTTCACTATCATCATAAATACTTTCTTTTAGCTTATTGTCTTCTTCAGCTGTAAGTAATAAATAATATTATAAAATGTTTGGTGTGTTCTTTATTTTGATATTTATTGTATCAAATTTATTTATGCTGATTAAAGTTGCCATTTACATGAACAAATAAAAGTTTTTTTTAAGATTATTTAAGAAAATAAAAAGATCTGTAATTTTCATAATTTTATCGTACACTCCTTGTAATTAATATTACTTTAGCAAAATATGTAACGGATAGCTTTACTACTATAGAATTAATAATATTATGTGAGGCTAAATAACTTATCAGTAACGTGAACATCCAAATAATATATTGAAGGGTTTAAAAATACCTTTATACGCTTCAATTTCTTCCGAAGCTTGTCTCTCTTGGTATATATTTCTTTGAATTCTTCGTTCATTTGTTAGTTCCGATTGCGGTGCGATAATATCGTCTCTTCCAATGCGACATAGTGCTAACTCCAATGAATTGTCTAGAAATGTCGCAAAATTTATTTCACTTGTAATAATTTAAAATAATCATTCACTAGGTTTCTTGCTTAAATATTTACTAATTAATAAAGTAAATGTGAAAAATAAAAAATAATTAGGCAAAATACAGGAGAAGCGAGTATACAATAGGTTACCTACAATTATTATTAAAATGAAAAAAAAAAAAATATCTTACTTCTTCAGATAATCTATGTATTCTACATCGTTATCGTTAAAAAATCATTAAATAATCATTATTATATCTACGTTAATGAGCCGTTAAATTAATATATTTATTGACATATTAAAAGCATCTAGAGCTAGACAACGTAAAAAAATCACTAGCAGAATGCGCGGCTTCGCTGGCGTTAAAACAAAAAAAAAATTCTTTGGCTTTATGTTATAAGTAATTAATACCACGTGTCTCATAATTTTAATTGAAGAGTACTGTGTATGCACTTCTTCTTCTTCTCCCTGCCCATTTCCCAATCACTTGGGGTCGGCGCAGTACATTTTTTGTACTGCTGATAGGATTTGGCAAAAGTTTTACGACCGGCCGCCTGCCTGACATCAACCCTCCTTGGGAATGCTAATTGTGTATGCACATTACTCATCAATTAAAATTATTAAGTATACAATGTGTACCTTGTTTTAATTTTCGAGTCAATCGGCCCAGAGAATAAAAAGAAAATTCAACCCCCCAATTTCACCCTCTTAGGGGTGTTTTATATATAAACATATTACCAGTAAAGTATAATGAACTTATTTTTGATTATTATTTACTTTAAAAATATCAAACACAAATTAAATAAATAATAATTAAAACTAAATAGAAAATATAATATGTACCATAAACAAACTGTTTGGTTTTAAAATTATTTGTAAATAAATCCAAGCATATAGAAGATACATTACCTATATTAAATGTAAATATTTATGTAAAATATCTATGTATATAAAATATATTTTTCGCACTATATTGACTCGCCATATAACACTAGAACATATCCTTTAATAAACATTCTCACTATCATTGCTTGTTTATTCTTATTTCTCCATTATTTTAAGTGATTAAAATTAAAACACAAATATCTCATCATCAAAAATGTATAAAAGACACAGAAATTTGAGTATTGAAAAATAATAAAGAAACATCTACTACCTTGAGCCTTAGTCCCCGACTGAGTCTTCCATAACTTTAGCATCAACTGAGCTTGTTCCGCCGCAGAGATCCTCTTTGCCTGTATCTGGTTGACGGTCGCGACACTTACGCCCAGCTCGTAAGCGAGCGCAACCCAATCCTTACCTAACAAATTACAAATATCTTCCAACCTAAAAAAAATATTTTTTTTTTGGTTTTCTTTTCACGCAACACAATTATATAATATACACTACTTGCCTACGCTCTCAGACAAGCTCTAGAATGAAATAACAACTTAATACTGTTCTAGTACTATGGGTCTTACCTAGTGTTCTGAGCCGTCGGGTAAATCAGGCTAATCTCATTACTGCATCAAACCAATCTTGTTATAAATATAACCTTGCGTAAACATTTATATACTTACATTAATGTTCTCGTTTATATAACGATGTGTTGTTAAATCGAATACATACCTTCTAAGTCTTCTAAATATATTAAGATATAATAATCGTATTGTTTTCGTCTAGATGCACTTCTTATTTTAATTAATTTATCAAATGGTTATCTTATTAAGTTAAGACCGAAGTTATATGTATAACAAGATTGATGATTTAGTAGGCTAGGGAGGTAGGTTGTCGGTACCTGGGGTCACTAAGTCGTTGACGCCAAATCAACTCTTGCTCCTCAGTACGTCTCGGCACCATGTCCGCTGGTAACGGTGAAGTTCTTTCTACTGGTAAGTCTTCTGGTACCATTATATTCAGTACCGCAATCTTAAAAATAATATTCAACACAGTAATGGATTGTAAGGAGTTTGTCAAATAGCATGATAAATTAAAGCGGGAATAGTGTTTTGGCTATATTCGGGAAACAAACTTTACTAGCTTAATGATTTTCTGAAGGCACAATGTACTTACAGGTGTAGGCGAAGGTTCGCCTTTCGGAACTTTTGGATCTCTCATAAATTGGCATCGACACATCGGTTCCAAGTCTTGGGTCTTTATCATTACCGGGAACGCAACTCGGTTCTCTCTAAATGCTCGGAAAGGTATTGATAGCTGTTCACCAGATTTTGCAACTGGCACGAGATTCCCACCGAATTCAAGATAAACGGGTTTGCCTTCGTGTACCTAGACCGTTGGTTATAAGTTAGATTTAGAATTGCTAAGATATTTAAGTACTCATACAATGATTACCAGAAAATAAATTACTTATAAGTTCTGCATACGTAACAAATAAAAAAAGAGGAATCAATAAATCAATATAAATAACCTTCACTCAGTAATATCCATTTAACAATTTATTATGTAGGTCAGGTAGTTTATACGATGTCTAAGAATGAGAAACCTAACAAATGATAACGTGCCATCAAAACAATATTACCTCAACATCGCGACTTTTCGCCACCTGTATGAATCTTTCAATTCTCTCTAGAGCCTTATCTTCCTTATCATCAGTGACACAGAACATTCGTAGTTGAGCTTGGCACTCATCTGTTCTTTTTGCGTAAACGACGAAACGAGCCATAAACGGTACGTGGATTGCCTCCCTAAATGATAGAATATGTTAAAAAGCAACTATTTTTTTACCTTAATAATATAAGTTTATGTTAAGACTTCATTAAGTTAGTACTCAATTACTAGCCGCTTACCCTTGCTTCACTTGGATGCCTCCTGAGATTCCTAATCGTGGCTCAGTATCTTTATTTTAAAACTTCAAATTCATCCAGCCGTTTCAACGTGAAGGAATAGCAAACATACAGACAGAAATGTCCACATATATGTAGTTAGATTGTTACCTGTATAATTCAGTTGCCATTTTAGTAGCATCTTCCACGTGTCTACAATCGATGAGCCAGTATCGAGCAGACACAGTAGTAGTGAACGAAACGCAATCGTTTACAAACGTTAATGGTGTATTTTCTGTCACATCCTCCCAATGAGCCCGATTAGTTCCTCCTGTTCAAACATTTTAGCTTTTACTTTATATGTTTTCATAATTCTTAATAAATTTATATATGTAATTAGATCTTCTTTTTATTAAAGTTCCAATATTACAAGCTACAGAGGCAGTATAGCTGTTGTAATGCTATTTTAGCTGCCAAAAAAATTTTGTCTTCTCCAACATTTTAATGCATGCAATAAAGCGTTTCAATATGTATTTTATATACAATGCCTCATCTTTACTTCTCTACTAACTAATTTAAACATGTCAGAAAATGTACTGAAAGGAAAAGTGTTGTATTAACAATTTAAAATTTTATAAAAATATCATTTTTTGTTCATTTTGATTTTGAAACTAAATATTAAAGTAATTAATTGGATAGGTTAATAAACAATAAAAATAAAATAAAATGGTTCCAAAACGGCCTATAGCAAACACACAACAAGCAAGGACGACATATCATAGGAAAATAACTAATATAACGTACCGTGTTATACTTATTTTAATGAAAGTGATTAAAAATGTGACACATTTTATAAGGTTTTGGTTACTTAAGCATAGTGCTGTATATTAAAAATAATGGTTCAATGTAAATTTTAAATCGATTGGTAAAAATTCTGGTCTGATTTATCGGAAAACAGATCTCTCGAAGGACAATCACTGAAATAAATTTTAAAATAAATGAACAAAAAATCAAAACTGACCTGAATAACAAAAACTGTCCTGAATGGTGAGGTAATGATACAAATAAATGTGATAAAATAGATAAGATGGTAAAGAAAATGAAACTGATAGGCCGTTTTGGAAAAGAACTTGACCAGTAGAAGCAAAATAATAAAACTTTGGGAATATTGACGCAGAAATGTGGAATGTGAGATGGTGTGTGGCACCGACACGGTATTTAACATCATACTTATCATCACAACCGATACATTCGTGCTATAATTTCTCGTAATGTGCCTTTATTGTAGAAACCGTCTTATTATCCTGCATAAGAAAAAGTCTTGCTAAACCGAGATTAAGTGATATAAACTGCTGTGCATCTTTTTGTAATCCCAAGATTAATTGTATATGATACAGTGTATGTGAAATAAGAAAGCAAAAACTTTCAGCCCGTGCATAGAGGTAGAATGTATGTAAAGCAAGATATGGAAAAAGCATTCAAAGTGATAAAGGAAGTAAATAAAAAGTATTATTGACATCTATAGCCCTATGACTAACGTATAGACATCAATAATAGTGATCGATGGTTGAGAAAGGGTCAAAATATTTTTGGGACAAATAAAAAGTAAATTAAAAAAAATCGTGAAACTTAACCGACGTACTGATTTTTTAGTTATTTGTAAAGTCTAGTATTTTTTTACCTTCGAGAGATCTTTTGCGAAATACCCCTGTTGGTGCGCGTTGAATAGAAGGCAGCGTTTAATTTAACGCCACACACGGTGAGCGTGCAACACACACAAACACACGAGAACAAAGACAATGTAGACACGCACAAAACGCACACATAGGGACATCTCCCTTTAGCTGCTCTGTGTATTTGCTATAAGCGCTTTCAATAGGTACGGTATACAATTTTGATGTTTCCCTACCTATTGACTGTTTGTATTTTGATAAATTTGTAGAGTTCAAGAAAATTATTGTCTAAACTAATTATGTTTTTCGATTAACATGCTTATCCCACTGTCTAGATATCTGGGATAGTTTTGTTTCTAATAAAATATGATTAATCGTCATAATATAACTACGGTAGCATTATTTTTTTTAAAGAAGAAAAACTATAGAATATAAGTAATTACTAATCGAACTATCTTTTCAAATAGTAAATCTAAAAAATTGGAAATGTATACTATTGCTACCGATCTCATATGAAATTGTCTAGCCAATATACATGTAAGTAACGTTTGGTTCATGGAGCCGGTCTATGACTTACTACTACTGTGTGTTGTAATGGAATATCGGTATTACGTAGATACCTATAAATATCAATAAGCATTACTCTTTAGACTATACTCGTACTTCAATAGCTTACTTACCTTTGACGTCGGCAAAGCCGTAATACAATGTTATCACATATCATAATAAATAGCTGATATTACAAGCCATACTCCATTGCAACACTTCACAAATTACAAAACTATTTTAGTCACTAAAAACAATTTATCAAAATATCCATATTTAATATTCCCAAAATATCCATATTATTATCGTATTACAATATAAAAATATTGAATTCAGTGACTAAATTCCTAAGGGGTAACAACATAATCAAATATGTAGGCGTACCTGAGATAGAACAGAGTAGTCTAAGAGTTGGGGCTGATGATGTACTGTATTGGTTGGTCATGCCCTGCGTATGCGGACGCGGCGCCGGCATGCTCAGGGTTATGGCTTTATGGAACTTCCTCCGCCGCGGCTCTACCGTCACCACCGGCGATACCGCCACCCCTCGACCGAGCAACTTAGCTGTTAGCTCCGAATCTATTATTTGCGCCTGCAAAATTGTTTTGTTTTTATTTTCTTCTCCTTTGTTAGAGATTATGAAACTTGTTAACTAAAGACCAAACGTAATAAAAGTATTACTCACCCGATTCAACGCCATATAAATTATAGAAGAAGCTAAACTTTAGAAATAACAGTGGTGATGATTCGTGAACAGAATGTGATGGAAACCAAGGTGCGTAAGCGTTAATGAATTATGAAATCACAAGAAAAGCACAGAAATCATATCAAACATTTCTCACACATGCGCTTCAACAAAAAACACTTTAAAAGCTTATAAGTAAAATAATGCAAATCAAATATACATGCAAATCTCACGTTTGGTCTTTAGGAAATAAAGTTCACAATCGCACAACAGTAGATATAATCTTAAGCTTAAAACAAACATTACCCAATAAATTTAGCAGTGTCTTAAAATACTATAACTACCTAACATTAGTACGTCACTCCAAATTGTTCACACAAACAAATACGTACAAGATATATGACAATGACAAAACGTAAAACTAACAAATAATCATATTAATATAATTATATATTAGAAAATTTAATTCCATAACACGTTGCTACATGCTAACTAACCTAAAGACCAACAGGAGACTACATATGTATATAGTATCCAACCACGCATATGTGAGAGAACTTCTAGTGATTTCATATTCAAAAAGCTTATTTCAATTGAAAAACGATTGACGTCAAAATTCATTTATTTTCATCTACAGTATGTTTAAGAGATACTAAATTTATTGGGTATAACATTCAGGAGTAACGTATGTATGTCTTAATCAAAGGTAACTTTTTGGTAACGATATGTTTTAAATATCATTATTTTTTAGTGTAAACAATCACACGTTTAAATTACTTAACTTATGAACGTAAAAAATCTACTTGCGATTGTTTATAATAATAGTTCTAATAAGTACTAAATTCATGATTTCAATTAAAATCTAAATTTCGTAAACTCGTGTAAACTTTGGTAAAATTTAAACTAAGACTTAAAAATTATCAAATTTTTGTAGCCAATTTTTGTCCGTTCAATATATAAATACAGTTAAACACTAGCTGCATTCTCTAAACAGTCATTTTCGATCACTTTACATTGCTATGGGTATGTCATTGATCAAATGTCTTCTTCTTGTTAAGGCTAACTAATTTTTCACTAATTTCTATATTGTTTCGAATACATTCGTGGTTTATTTATCTTTTTATTCAACACTAGCATTGCCCGCGGCTCCGCCCGAGTTTAGATGACCAAAAACCAAATTCTTAGGTTTTACATATTAGTATACTCTTACATTTCAGTTTTTTTATTTTATCTCAGAAATGAGATATTTAAAAAAAAGTAAAAAGCTGGCACCCTGCGGTAAAAAGTATCCTTTATGTTGACCCGGATAACTAGCTATCGCCATACCAAATTCCATCAAAATCCCTCCAGTAGTTGTTCCGTGATGCGTTAACAGACAGACAGACAAAAATTCTAAAAACTATAGATTCGGCCTCTGTATCGATAATGATGTCTATTTCAATAAAATTTTCTAAAAAAATATTTAATGTGCAGATTCGCCTTAGTTACAATTTTATTGTATGTATAGTTTTAATCAAACTTTAATGATTGTCTCGTCTCCTGACAGGAAACGTACAGATAAGTACATACGTTCCTTACTTTAATCGAATGAGACTGTCAAAAAATTTAAATCAAATATGTATACGCATATTTAAGTACATATGTATATACATAATAATTAATGAATTAATCCGATTTTGACGAAAAAGAGATTTGACAATTGACATACTATCTCTAAGAGAACCTAATATCGGCCTAATTAATAAAAGAGATAAAAAATTATATTCTATTATTAATATTCCAATGCAAATTAATGTTTGTATATAATATAATATCAAAAAAACTTCCTTATAATAAAATAAATATAATCTGCAATAATATAGAAAACTAAATATAATAAAAATTTGGCATCCATATTTGTACTTCTTAGGTAAAATCACTATGATCGTCATGATAGAACACAATGTGATTGGCGTTAAAACTTGCATTTTCTACAAACACACCTTTATTTAATATTTCTTTAAGAATATATACTTTTTTTCATTCAAATTAGTTACATATATGTATGCTAACATCAAAAATTCCTTATTTCCTTAAAACTAATTGATTTTTAACGCTAATGACGTTATATATTATCATAATTTAGAATAACTAAATTTGACAAGTGTGTAAATGTTGAAACATTTAATATATATTGTTTAAAAATTTCGATTTATATCGAAAATAATCCAATTGTGCCATAAAAAATGAATCGGACTTCAACAAACATAAGATAATATTAACATTACCTGTTAAGCCCAAAAATAATTTATTCCAACATTTCCACAATCGACATTAGCGCTAAGATCCTTAAAAAACTTATTTCGATACAATCCATAAGCTTTGTTTATTAGTTATTTCGACTAGGTCGACATCTATAATTATAATTGTATACGGCCTCACTATGAAAAATACTGATCGGTTTATTGTATATACGTATATTATATAATAAGATAAAACTACCAAATTAAAGAGAACCGTTTCTTCTTAGAAACATTGTTGACTGTTATCTTTTTCAAATTCATATCCTTAACGCCTTTACGAGGCTTGAAAAGGTTTACCTGAAGGCCCACTTTGATCTTCTTGGTGAGGGCTCCGTGAGGGAACACGGCTTGCACTTGCGGTACCACCGAGCTCGACACCATGCCACCTGTTGCAATAATTACAGATAATTCATGTGTTTAAAAAAAATAGTTATATTGGTGTATTGATATTGCATAGCTGCCTCGTTGGTTAAGTGACTAGCATGTGCGGTTGCAGAACCAGAGGTTCTAGGTTCAAATCTTAAATTAGGCTAAGTACATTTATTGGATTTTTCTATCAATAAATTTTCTGTAAAAGCTCGAAATAAAGAATATCGCAATATTCATCCTCCCTTCCTTGGAGAGCATGTAAATATAGTATAGTAAAATTTGTATTTTATACGACCAGAATTGACATTTAAAAGTCAATAATTCTGTATTAAAAAATCTTCCGGTGAATTGCTCGTTTGGCCAAATAAAGGCTGAGATAACGATATACAGCTAACTCGGTACCTTCAGGTCCAATGGCGTGCACCTCCTGGCGGATACGCGAGATCACCGCGAAGTACTGCGGGAAGTCGTGCGTGAGGATGCGAGTCACGCGCGGCGCGTCCCAACCCTTGTCTTCTTCGTTTGTTTCTGTGTTATATAGTAAGTGTTCTTTATGTTTGTTGCTGTCAAGTACGAGTTTGTTTTTTGTTTGGTACATAATTAGGTATTCACTAATCATACGAAATCGATTCACCTTTATAATTTTTATATTAATTGAAATTTGTGTAGTGGTTACTATCGAAAAAAGAATCTATCAAATGAATGGCTGACATAGGTTAAATTATTGTGTAACAATTAACATACACTTCTCTAAATTACTCCTTTTTTCCTTTTTTTATAAGTGCACTTTGAGTTCTCTCATGAAAAGAGTGAGTACAACGACAAAAACAGACAAATCTATCGATCGATTTAAATTTAATTTAGCTATGTATCTTTTTGTAATACTTATTAGTTGCGATACGGTTACCAGTAACCATGGTGTCATACATACACACATACACACACACACACGCACGCACGCGCACACACACACACACACACACACACACACACACACACACACACACACACACACACACCACACACACACACACACACACACACACACACACACACACACACACACACACAACACACACACACACACACACACACACACACACACACACACACACACACACACACACACACACACACACACACACACACACACACACACACACACACACACAACACACACACACACACACACCACACACACACCACACACACACACACCACACACACACCACACACACACCACACACACACCACACACACACCACACACACACCACACACACACCACACACACACCACACACACACCACACACACACACACACACACACACACACACACACACACACACACACACACACACACACACACACACACACACACACACACACACACACACACACACACACACACACACACACACACACACACACACACACACACACACACACACACACACACCCACACACACACACACACACACACACACACACACACACACACACACACACACACACACACACACACACATGCACACTCCCACCTTCTATCTCCAGGGTCTCATGCAGTATGTCCTGCACGACGTCATCGGTCGCGTCGGCGCTGTGCTCGCGCCACGACGTGCCGTTGTCAGAGCGAAGGATGACGATCTCACGCTCCTTGCCGCGTAGCGACGCGTAGTGCGGTACTTCCAGTATTACTGGCCTAGTGGGATAATTGTATGATGATTTAAATAAATATATTATTTCTTTTCGATTTTTTGTATATATTTTGATTTTAGGTTCCCGAATTTTTGCTCACAGTAATCATGGTCTCAACTCTCAGGAGGCTAGAAAGTATTATGATAAATTATTTTGTTGTGTGTTTAAGATTGTTGTCCAAAGTTTATTCGAAATTTTGTGTCTTTCCCTTTTATATAAAAAATGTATCGGTACATAAAATGTAAAAATTTTGGAGCTATGAAATATTTTTTGATTTTCAATAACACTTTAAATGAAATTGATTGATGTATTAGAAAATATAAAGAACCTTTAAAAATGTTTATAGGTCATTTTGGAACTCTATAAAAATTTCAATACCAATGGTTACCAGTATTTATATAAGATTACATAATACAATACTACTCGTAGTAGTGACAAAATTATCTAATACTTACCTATATAAATAAATATTCTTGTTACATTAAAATTGAAAATGAATGACATCCTCATTTGTTTCGTGTGTTTGTTATTTAATATTTTTTGATGTATTATAATTTATAAAATATATACCCTAAAAATTTTGCAGACACTGGTCCCATTTCTAGAACGCGAGCTGCTAGCGCCTCTCCCTCCATCAGGGGTGGCATGTGATTGATGCGTGATGGTTTCAAATATCTGAAAATGAATATTGAAAAAAAATCAAAATATTTATCATATTTTTAACTTTGTGAATTTGCATAGCTTTGTTTGGCGTTTTTCGGTAAAGATATAAAAGTTGCGTTTTTTCAGGAAAGACACCTAAATAAGTAAACTTGAAAAGTAAAACCTTATCTAAAAACAAAATTTGATTCAAATCGTTAGAGCCGTTTCCAAGAAATACCAAAAAATTGTATACACTTTGAAAAAAAATTAGTTTTTTTCCATTTTTAGAACTTCGTTTTACGATAAAATAAAACATCCCATCAAATTTCATCGAAATTGAAAGGGTTCAATTCCAACCATTGGTCGATTTGACATGGAATGATCCATATACAAGAATTGTTTTTTTAATATTATAAGATATAGTCCCCATAAGAAGTGTCCATATCATTGACAAATGCAATAGTGCCCTATTTAGGAAGATTGAAAACGAACTATAGAAAACATAAAGACTTTAAAAAATAAATAGAAAGCACTAATTATAATTATTCCTACTTAAAATATACTAGAAGAGAGAGAACTACTACGAAGTTGTAAACCCCCATGTAGTGAGTACTGACCTGCAAGTGATGCGCGTCGGCTGTTGTGCGGAGAGCGGCGGCACGATGACGCGCACACCGCCGCCGCGACTGCCGCGCAGAGCGCCGCCGCGCGCGTCCACCAGGAACGATACTAGGAAACTGTGTGAGACAGATAACGTGGTGTAATTATTCCACCCTAACCTATGAATTTTTTCTTAATGCTAATTACCCCTAAAAATTGAGTATAAGAAAAACGGTGCGTCCTCCATGAACGACACCAGGAAGTTGTTTGAGGCACAATGTAGTCGGAAAAGAAAATCTATTAATCTAGGAGTATCTACTAGTTAAAAAAAGAATCTTTAGTTCCGTATGTAATAGACGAAGATACCGTGACATACACACAAAACCGTCCTTTTATATTTCAAAGTCATAGGTGTAGCAATAATACTCGTAGCATTAGTTTTGCTTCCCATCTTGGTTTTTGATTCACATTCAGGACTTGTTATATGTATACTTATTTAATATAGAACTACTACCAAACTAAATTGTAAAATAATTAAAATTTGGATTTTTTCAATTTAAAAAATCCACAACTAAGAAAATCTAAAAAAGTGTTTCAAAGAAATCAATATATTTGTAAAACACCATTCTTCGTCATCTCTATTAAGATGATTTACTCGTTATATTTTTGGCTCTACTTTTACTTTATATATACTTTAAATAACTTACTTTTTCCACTGTAGTTTTTTCCTGTTTTCAAGAATCCAGAGTTGGCATGCGCATAATTTAATATTTTATTATTAAGCACCAAGTAGTCTGAAATACAGTAAAAATGAACATATCAAATCATTAAGAACTTTCATTTCAAATATACTTTATCTTTTCTTCTTTATTTCATTTTCAGGTGACCTTTACCTCCCTCTCCCTCATAAAAAAAATCAAAATAAAATATATTTCATTTCACAAAAGCACTTTTTAAGTCTACGAAAACGCTACGAGGCAAACATAAATTATTTTTAATATTAATATGATTAATTGTACACAATATTTGATTTTGTCGTAATATCTACATATTACTGCACCATTTTAATACATTGTATTGGATGGCTAGCTTTTTCGATGTAATAGAAATCAGTGGAAACTTGATTGTTTTAAGTAATTATTTACTGCGCCATATATGTATGTATGTATGTATGTATGTATGTAATATAATTATTTACTGTACCGTATATTTCCTTTGAAAAGCAAATAAATAAAAAAACGTGTGTGTACTTACGTACGCACGCAAGAAGTTATACTTCTTTGGCGAAACAGAACAAAAATAGCTAACTTCATCAAGTCACTTTTTGGCTGTCGGTGTGCGCGGGCATTGTAAAAATTTTACTTTCATATTTTTTTCCAAACGTGCCCAAAGAAGTATAACTGCAAAATGTCAATACACGGGTCACAACTGACTTGGGCTGTGTGGGGTCTACGTTGTAGCAGTATCCCTCGGGCGCCGCCGCGCTGTAGCGGCTGATGCTCTTTACCACCACCTCCTGCTGTGGCTGGTACGGCATGCCGTTTACTGAGCCTGGTATGTAATGAACTGTTAACTAAATATTAGTTTCAATGTTATTGAAAATAGGTATTAACTAAATATTACTTTTAACGTTTTTGATATTAAGAATGTAAATAATAATATCCGGTAAATGCAAGTCTGACTTGCACATCGAGGGTGCATTGTCTTAAAAATTGCCAATAATTATTACTTCCTCAAAAACCGATTACAATTCATTAAGTTTAAACGTTACGGGGTTACTTTCTCAACTATAACTTTCTTTAATATATATACAAAATAGACCACAAAATAAAAAAAAAGTAGTTCAGAAAATAAGTACATACAGATCAACGAACAGACTTTACTCAGATATCTAAAATCAAGCTACAGCTTTTAGAAGCGGAGTAATACATATATAATAAACTAATCGTGCTGCGCAATAGACAAAAAAAGTCCATTAGTTTTAGCTTTTTGTCATTCTTCTTCATATAAATTTTAACTATACCAATGCTCACACATCATCACACGGAATATGCTTAAAAAGCGTATAAAGTTTTCTCTTCACTTACGTAATAATATCTATATATATTATTTTATAAAAAATAAAGTAGTTAGCACCTTGAGATATCTCCATAACATTCTTATGGCTCATGGCAGACTCGGTGCGCTCGTCCTTCGTCACGTCTATGGGCAGCGAGTCGTCGCCGAGCGACTTCATATCGTCCGCCGTCAGGTAGCGGTACGGCTGGTCGTTGAGGATCGTGTCTTCACCTGGGATTACATTGTGTTTATATGTTATACTAATTTTTGCTTACAGCTTTGCTTGTGTGGTTGGTACTTTGATGAAGGATAGTCTTTGTCAGTCAGTAAGGATATAAGTTATCTCCATGTTGAATTGTATTCAAATCCATAGAGCACTTAGAGGCTAAAAAAGTATGAACACACAGATTACCTGACTTTTTGCATTTATACTAATAGTGTGATTCCGCGTATGAAAAAAAGAATAATAAATAAATGAAAAACCAAACTCAACTTTATAATTCAAATTCTTCACCATATTTGGTTTCGTTATACTTTTTTTTTAAATAACAAACACAGAGGAAAAAAGAGAGGTGTTCCAAAAATTCCAATAATTTGAGATTTTTTAAAGAATGGAATGAATATCATAAGAATATTTTTATTTTGAAAGGCGGTATCAATTCAGATAAAGAACTATTATAATTAAAAATATATATAAATAGGTACTCTCCTTTTTAAGAGAGTCGGTACTAACAAGATAAGGCCATTTGTCCAAACAACCAAACCAACCGAAAGAATAGAAAAGAGTTTTCAATACAGAATTATTGAATACTAAATATCATTTCTATTAGTAAAACATACACATTTTACATTAAAATAAGCCGAAAAAATGTATTTTATCTACATATGTACGAGTATATATCTAATAAATAAAACTTTGTTTTTATTTTAAAATGGAGGGAAAAAACTCTACTGTAAAGTACAAAAGTATTGGTAGTTTAAACAAATGAGCACTAAGGCGACAATAAGTTAACAAGCCTTACCTCCTTCCTCTTCAGAGTCCGACATGAAGGTCTCGAGCATGGTCTCGGGCGCCACAACCTTGTACTTGTCGGCGGCGGCGACCGCCAGTGACGGCTCGGACACTTCCTTCAACGTCTCCATCACTGTCACGTAACCGAGTTTGGACGCTATGTCAAGAGGCGTTTGGCCGTTCTGTTAGAGGAAAATATTTATAGAAATAATGGCTAAATAATGAAATAAAAATAATAATAAATAATAATAATAGGAATACGTGTAGTAAAAACTACTAACATAATTTAGTTATTATATTACTTACAACTGTAGTCGCGTTAGCATCTGCTTTATGCTCGAGGAGAATGTTGACGATATTGATGTGTCCTTGTTGCGCGGCGTGGTGAAGCGCGGTGTAGCTGGTAAGGGATATTTTGGTTTAAACTTAATAAATAGCAATTTAAAGAAATTTTAAACTGAAACAAAACCTATTAATTAGGTAATTATTATGTGCAAAAAGTCATATTTCCCAAATTTTATAATATGGAATATCACATTTTATTTGTAGTTTCTTAGTAGTTATTTTTAATACACTTTTTTCATATTAATATTATAATTGCCATCTCTTGTTACACATATTTATTATGTTTGGCCTCTCATATGTAACTTGGCGTAAATATTATATTACATTACTGCATTAAACAAGGCCTAATGAAGCATCAATACTATTGCGGGCCAAAGTTCACTCCAGCTAAGTGCGGATTAGCGGACTTGACTGGTCTTTTGAAACTTGCAGGTCTCTTTACGTTGTTTTCCTTTACCGTATGACCTATTAAAGAATATAGAACAATTATAATATACTAATATATCCAACAATTTACCCATGGGAAGTTTGAGCCTTGACTGAGGCACCATTCTCCAGCAAGTAGCGCACCATGTTAGCCTGTCCGTAGTGGCTGGCGATGTGTAGCGGTGTGTAGCCCCCCTTAGTGCAGATGTCAACCTGGACGGATATTACAATTTACATATATGTTAAAGTTGAGAATATAAATTTTTTACATTTTTGGGTAATAAGGTGAATAAAATCTTTATTCATAACAGCTTTGGGGCAACAAGACGTAATGTAAGTCCGTGAAAAAACCATCATAGGTTTTTTAGACAATTCTGCTGGTCAGAGCCGACGAAAAACAATTTTTTCATAGAATTTTTTTTTAAAGAATTTTGATTTGTTCAGTTTTAATATTAAACTTGAAAGATATAAATTGCAATTCTAACATTAGATTACTAGTAGATAATACAGATAATTTTTTAACATACCTCAGCACCATTCTTCACCAGGAGCTGAGCGACCGACACGCGATCCTCCTGCGCGGCCAGGTGCAGAGCGGCGAGGCCGTTCTTGGCTTGCTGGTCCACCTCTGCGTCATGCTCGAGGAGCAGAGAGCACATTTCCGTATGGCCCTGTGACATATTATGAACAATTGTAGTTAAAAACTAAATCAGTTAATCTATTCCCGTGTGGAAAATGGTTGACTCTTGTGGATTAGAATCTGTTCACAAAAAATCAGGTATTATATTAATATTAATTCTCGTTATAAATTATGTGATCACGCACATATCACAAACTAAAGCCTAACCTGTTGAGCGGCGAGATGCAACGGGGTGAAGCCGGCCTTGGACTCCGCGTTGGTGAGCGCGCCGTACTCCAGCAACGTCGCCGCCGTCTCCATCTGGTTCTTGCGCGCCGCGATGTGCAGTGGGGTGTGCCCGTTCTTTGCTATTGCCTATGTGTACACCATTTATTAGAGTACTTTTTATGTTTTCCGTATTTAGCCGAATATTACGTTAGTTTGCTAAGTAAATTACTTTTCCATCAAAATACAGCTGTAATATACAAGAATTAAAATAAATCATCAAAATGAGTGTAACCTTAGCATCCGCGCCTTTCTCCAGCAGCGTGTTGGCGACAGCGTGCTGGTCGTACTGCGCCGCCACGTGTAACGCCGTCATACCGTTCTTGCCCGCCTGATCCGGCGATGCGCCATGTGCCAGCAGCAGGTTGGCCACCTGTGGTTGCTTAGTGGTTACTAGTAGTTGGTAGTGGTTTTCGTGGATATTACTGGCTGTACTAGCCGATTAGTCCCACATAACCACCTGTATATTTGCAGGTGATATGTGTAAATGTATTTACCAATATTTAAAAAAACGTCTTGTGTTTGCCACCAGTATGACAAGTAAAAGCCTCAATCTTGAGAAGAACTGACGAAAGAAACTCAGCGGGACTAAAATTATTTTTTTATTATCTATAAAGATATTTTAAATCGCTAAATAATTAATTATGTCTATAATAATTGAACTAAGTCATTTATTATATCTCTATCATTTATAAGCTATATAATGCAGTATTAAGTTGTAAATAATAATTTTCACTCACCTTAAGATTTCCGTATTTGGCAGCTAAATGTAATGCAGTAAATCCTTTCTTAGTTGTAGCAGTCAAAGGAGCATTATGTTCTATCAGTGCTGCTGCGACCTACATAAGATAAAAAAATATTTGTTTTATCTCTAGAAGTTAAAATTTTATTTTAACTTCTAGAGATAAAACGCCTATTACTATATGTAGGTATATAAGTTTAATTAAAATTGGATTAGTATGTAACGGTAAAGTCCACTAACAGTACTAGGCCAAACTTCTTACACGCTTATAATGTTATCCTGACCGATTTCATGTCACATCATGTTTTTTACGTCAGCCAATTTAATAGTCTAGCCTGTCTATCTGACAGGATATTATAATTTATGGTGCACAAGGGTGCGCGCAAAAATAAGTCACTTCGACCCTTGCAGTGAGAGATTTGGCTCAAGACCGACGAACTTGAGTGTTACACAACTGACTTCTCATATCCAGTCTATTACTCTGTATTTCCTACCAAAAACACCAGACTTGTCCAACCCAGGACCTCAAACCACTAGAAAGCTACAATTGCCTCTTATCATGATCATCCTGCTTAACAACAACACTCAGCACTAAAAGAAAGTTCATTACAAACAACTCACATCACAATCATCCTGCTTAAGTTCAAAACAGACGCATTTAAAAAAAAAACTGGTGTTAGCTCAAATCATGATCAGCCTATATAATATGCTGCACGTAGCACTTAAGAAAAAAGCTAATTACAAACTCACATCATGATTATGTTGCTTAGCAGCAATATGCAGCGCGTTATAATGGTCAGCAGTGTGTGCGCGTACGTCGGCACCGTGCTGCAGCAGCAGTACCGCGATGTCCACATTGCCGAGACGCGACGCAATATGCAGCGGCGTTTGTCGCTCGCGCGCCTTCGCCTCTACCGCCGCGCCGTTGCGGAGGAGTATGCGGATTATGTCTGTCTGTTGGGGGAGTATCGGGTTTTATACGAGCTTATAAATACAGGGTAAATGTTTTTGAGTTGTGGAAATTGAGTTGTGAAGTTAAATGCGGATTATGGTATGGTAAATGTTATTTAGGGAATACTAGATTTTATACTAGCTTATAATAATACTAATAATTTCTATATTTAGGTATAAAAACCGTAAAAAATGTATTTATGCCAACAACCAATAACCTCCATACATGGTTATGGTTATGGTGATTCATATTTAGTATGAATTATAAATTCCCTATAAAAATGAAAAGCTAAGAAAAGCCATGGAATAGATGGGTCAAATAATTGTCTGGCTATTGTATGAGAATACCGGACGATTTCTCAACAGCCTCACGTTGAACAGAACAGAACTTTGCTACTAATTAGATATTTAGTATTAGTTAGACATAAAACGGACTAAAGGTATATTACCTGATTAGCCCTTGCTGCGAGATGCAGTGGCGTCTCTCCGCGCACCGTGGGCACGTCGGGGTTTGCCTCGTGCTGCAGCAGGTAGATGACGATGTTCATGCAGCCCATGAAGGAGGCCACGTGTAGTGGCGTTAGTCCAGACTCCGTCGTTGCTTGGATACCTACGTGTGTTAGTAAAATTTATTATAAAGTAAGAAGAATATAGTTTTGTTAATAAACTAACGATTTACCATTGCTTTTATCTTTTCTGCTTTTATCTTTTAGTCTTTTGAGTGTATATACTTTTTTACTCTATTTTTTTATTTCTTATTTACCTTATTATAAATTTGAAAGTTTTTATATTTCTTACATACTTTCAGCGTTAATAATGATAGTTTGATATTGCAATAATATTTATAAAACAATTATAATAAGCCTTTTATTGATATTTTGTTCTCTTTCCATGCACATGGGAACACTTGTTTTTCTAATGATGTGATGTTGCATATAATTTGTGAAACGTAAAGTTTTTTGAATAATTATATGAAAAAAAAACGAGAGTCGACGTCGGCTTTTGCTTTCCACTTAGAAATTATTTTGTACATCACAGATGAGATTTTTTTTCTGAAAAATCATAGCGAGCCAGGTGAAAAATGTTGTAATTTAAAATAATTAACGAAAATATAATAATTTTTAACAACAACTTACTTGCTCCATATTTAAGTAACAATTCCACAACTTTGATCCTGTTCTTCTTACAGGCAATGTGTAGTGGGGTGAATCCATTTAGAGCTCGAGCATTAGCGTCAGCGTTTCTAATAGAAATGACATAAAACGAAAATTAAAAAACGTTCTAATAATCGTGGATGTACGTTCACAAAACATTCACATAAAACATGTGAAAGACTCTGGTTTCTGTTAATACGTAATGTATACAGAAATATGTTATACGCAATATTGTAAAGCTGATTAAATGTGTTTGATAATCCTCAGGCTAAATAGTTATATAAATGGAAAGTGTGTAAAGACTAAATTGTGAGTAATATCATCCCACAAATAGCTTGTGCGAGGTATAGATCAAAGCCAGGCATCTAGGATGTGTAGGTGACACCAAACCAACAGTGAAGGGTGCAATTATAAAAACACGACACTAGATAAAAAAATCGCCAGTGATTCCAATGTACAGATGATAGAAAACACACATTCGTTCGCGGATTCACCTATCGTGTTTTTCACAAAAGAAATATTTAAATTGTTACCTACCTATCCAGTAACAACTTGGCGACTTTAGCGTGTCCACAGTGGGCAGCGACGTGTAACGCTGTGAGGTAGTCCACGGTGACGTCATCGACGGGCGCTCTGCGCGAGAGCAGCACGCGCGCCGCCTCTGAGTGGTCGCCTTGCGCCGCCATATGCAGGGGGGCGAGGCCGTTCTAAAACATTAGTTTGATTTGCTCATTTGATAATAGCGTTTAAGAAGTATTAGTACGAATTTAGTGTCCATCAGACAGCCTGTGAACGAATCCTAAGAACTGAAGCCTTTCATACCTTTCTGGATATACATATGCTGTAGATTACGTTTATAGGTATTCAATATTATTGATAAGATGGTTTATAAAAACATTTTCATATATAATATGATTTGTACGTAATTATCTCCAGCTTAATCAAATACTAGAATGAGATTGTAGCTATATTTTGAAAATCTGAAGATCGTTTTAACGTCGCAATGCTGAGCCTCTCTTCAATACGTTCCCTACCATATTAACCAAGACTTATCAGATTTGATATCTAATATCAATATAAGACTATAATACCACCTCACCTTACTCTTACTAGTAATAGGTGCGCCCCGGTCCAGTAAGGCCTCGACCACGCGTTCGTGCCCGGAGCGCGCGGCACAGTGCAAGGGGGTGAGGCCGTCGCGCGTACGGGATTCTACGTTAGCACCATGGTCGCAAAGTAGGGCTACCATGTTGTCTTTTCCTGGTTTGTTAATTCATAAATAATAATTTTTAACTATCAAAATATACTTTAGACTTTTACGAGGTACTTTGTAATTATCGTCATTAAAATCAATTTTGTCCGTCTGTATTTTGGTTGTCATCGGTTTGTTTACTATTGAGTGAGAAATATTTCTAAACATCAGATTGGTCATTTATAAAAATCGGATCAAATCTCCAGGCTAAAAATTTGGCAACCTATTTACCTATTACTGTAATGGAATATGTAAGAAAAGATTTTTTGAATTGACATCGGTAACTAGTAATAAAATAATATTTTAACGCGAAAGCAAATTTTATTCTTTTGTCTATTCAGAGTATTTTAAATTTTTGTATACTGTTTATATAAAATGATATATTATTATTATATTAACATCATTCCCATTTATGTAATAAATAACCAAAAATAAACCATCGGTCAAGTTTGAAAATATCTTAGTCAAACTATTCAGTTTAACAAATTACTTAACATTGTTAAATTACTACCAAAATGGATCCACATACCCCATTTAGCAGCAACATGCAAGGGACAAATGTTATGCTTCGCAGCGCAATTAACATCCGCGCCCTTAGCGAGCAGCAAGCGCGCGACGGCCTCGTTGCCGTAGTGAGCCGCGATGTGCAGCGGCGTGAAGCCAGACTTCGATGTGACATCGGGGTTGTGTTCGTTCTAATGGAGGAAATATCATAGAAATGGGAAACTCCTCCAATTGAACTAATATCCTTAAAAATCTCTGTTTAATAACACCCTTTTTTCAGGCACTTGCGGAAAACAAATATAGAATATAATTAAAACAGAATATGTTAAGCTTTGATAAAAACATGACATTTATAAACGATGCCCTAAATATACGCCCCAAAAGTGACCTGTTTTCGTCTTTAGATTAAGGACTCCTTCTGGTTTCATTAAGATAGTTAGGAGCGTCATGGAAACGTAGTAAAGTACCTATCTCATAATTGAAAATATTTACAAACAAACACCAATCAAATTTTATTGCTTATATACTAGTTATAGGTATATAAAAAGTATCCGAAAGTACAGAGGATAAACATCGTATTAAGAAAGTTTAAGCGCTCTCCCTCAAGTGCTTGAGACTCATTATTTTAATTTAGGTTATTACTTAGAAAAGTGATATGAACATAAATACTCGTATATACTAGTATATCGGTTGCTCCTTTAAATTATGAGACAATGGCTTATATAATTGGTTTTAGTTAGAAAATATCATTTTTTACTAAAAAAATATATTTTTTTATCTTACATAATAAGAGAAAAGATACATAGGTACGTAAGAGAACTTACCTCAAGTAGCAGATTAGCAGCCTTGACATCGTCTTTCTTGGCGGCAATGTGCAAAGCGGGCAAGCGCACTCTGCCGCGAGTGTCGGCTTCTAATAGCACTGCGACTACTTTCTCATGCCCTTGTTGCATTGCTACAGCTAAAGGCGTAAATCCATCCTAGAAATAGTATTTTTTTAAATAAATATGCCGCATTTCATATTTTAAAGAAATAATATTCTTTATAATTAAAAATCGTTCATAACACAACATATAACTAAATTGCAAACTTTTTAGTCCCACGTGGGTTTTAATTTATGATAAATTCCTACTTTTTCCGCCGAATTAAATCTATAACAGAAATAATTAAGGGCGTTTTAACTTTAACAGTCATAAGTGCACAAATGTGCACAAACACTCTGTACCCACACACACTACACACAATTACTGTGTTCTCGATGTTGTTAAACTAAATATTCTCATAGTTATGGGAGGTGACAGTCAAAAATTAATAAGAACAAATATCAAAGATAACTTACCTCGGTTGCCAAGCTTTGGTTCGCACCATTAGCCAGCAAGAACTTGACGACCCCGTCATGGTTCTCTTGGGCCGCCATGTATAAGGGTGTAAATCCATTCTGGGATTGAATGTTGACCTATAAATAAAAGTATTAAATTAATTACATATGAAATTAATTGTACCACTCAAAGAGAAAGCCAATATTTGAAACGACATGAAACTATGTTCAGAAAACTTAGTAGCGATCGCATTGTGGAAAATCGACCATAATAGTAGTTACAAACGGTATTGAAGTTCTTTTGTATGTAGTATGAGGTATATAGCCTGTAGTAACCTTTCCTCAATGAATAGAGCATACCTAAATATAAAAAGGTTTTTCCCGTTGTCGCAGTTCCCGAGAATTAACACGTGAAGACAAACAAACAAATTCTTTAGCTTAATATATTCGTATAAAATTGATGAAAGTTATAGGAAGCAGAGTTATACTAATTAAAACTATACTAAAAAAAACTAAGCGAGCGGAGCAGTGGGTAAAAGCAATTTAATAAATTTTCGCTTTTTATTTCTTCATAGTCTACTAATCGCCCAGATAAATGAGATTAATACTCATGTATTAATCTCATCTACCTGGGCGACCGAGTATCTCCGGGTGTTTTTCGAAAAACATAAAAATTGAGTTTTTTTCGGAAATGACACCTAAACTTAAAAAGCGAAATCTTATTTAAATACAAATAATTAGAGCCGTTTCTGAAATACACGAAATTTTATATACGAGTATACACAAGAATTGCACATTTAATATTATAAGATATACATGTATCTGGCAGTTTGTGTGAGTTAGATGTTCTCGAACTGCTAAACGTTTCGGAACCTGTTTTTAAGGACTGAAAAGAAAGGACAGTACTAATTCAAAGTGAAAAAAAAAAAACAATTTATGATTTACAGAAAAAGATATTATTATGCGTGTTGGGTAGTGGTATATTTTCTATCTATATTCTATACATGTAATAAAATTCTAAACCGAATCTGTACATTAAATATTTTTTGGAAAATCTTATTGAAATAGAAATTATTAACGATATAGAGGCCGAATCTATAGTTTTTATAATTTCTGTCTATTTTTCTGTCTTTCTGTCTGTGGCCATATCACGGAAAAACCACGTGAAATTCTGTATGATGGTAGCTGGTTATCCGAGTCAATATGATGCTTTTTACTGCGGGAAAATATCTCATCTCTGAGAAATCTACACTAAACGTTAAAAGGTAAGTAGGGACGAACCTGAGGGGAGCGAGAGTGAGTCACTAGTCCTTATATAAATTCAAAACCATAAAAATATCAAACTGAAATTGATATGAATCAGAATGTAATTAATGTTAACCCATATGTGTTACATAAATACACCTGAAGCAATTGTACTATATTACTTGAATGTTTTTATCTCTTTTATTAATGTCATTGACGTAAAAAAAACCTATAAAAGGAAGTGTTTGCAATAAACCATAATATGATTGATGGATGTTTTAAACTAAATCGGGGTCAACGACCTGAATATTTAATGTAAAGCTGATTTAACAGTGGAAACCGATTTGTTGGCTGTTGGAGATATGCATCAATGATCTGCTAAAGTTCGATGAGGCTGAGCTAAAATTAATAACTATATTGTTTCATATCAAGGATGGGAAGAAAGGAAAATATAAGTGATATTTTAATGCAACTACAAGTGGAAAATTAAAACATTTTCCTTTTGGAAAAAAATCACTAAGAAAGTTATATAATGAAAATCGTTGGAACCGTTTCCGATTATATATATATATATATATATATATATATATATATATATATATATATATATATATATATATACAAATCTATAGAGATTTGGAGATTGCGAGTTAAAATCTGGAACAACAGTTTATTTATTGAGGAAAATTACAGGTTACCTATATACCTGAAAAGAGAACCGCAAAATGTTCCAACTTAATGAAATATAGTCGATTTTCACTGGTACTTTTAAATAAGGTACCTACATAAAATAAAAAAAATGGATTCAAAACCAACAAAACTCACTTGGGCTCCATTTTGCACTAGTAGCTTGACAACATGTTCTTGTCCAGCCAGAGATGCAATGTGCAGAGCAGTATTGCCTTTCTTGGTAGCAGCATCGATTGCTGCACCCCGTTCTAACAGCTCACGTACCACTTCTACATGGCCATCTTTGGAGGCCAGGTGGATAGCGTTGAGGCCGTTCTGAAAAAGAGACTACGTTTAGGATATTTACTTTATTATTATTTAGGCTATTGATAGGTTATTCTATTAAATTTTTAGTACTGAAAGAATATTCAGCACATGTTATGATAGTAATTTAGGCAAACATATTAACATATTCCCTATTCAACTATACTGTATTTTTTGAAATCATTGTGTAATTTTTGTAACAAGTATATAATGACCTTATGAAACGTCTAAAACCAAGTCTCTCCCGTGACCATGATTGCTGTAAAGCATTCAAAACGTCCAGAACTAAAAATCAAAATAAATCCGCGAAAAAACCTGAAAATGATAGTTTAACGTCAAACATATAATAAAAGTAAATCTAAGAAAGTATTAACTATAAGTTTGCTAAAATTGCTATAATAAATTATTATAGCATTATGTGTGTGTATTCAGCCCTTTTTATCGTCCCACTGCTGGGCACGGGCCTCCCTTCAGTACGAGGGGAATCAGGCCATAGTCCACCACGCTGGCCAAGTGCGAGTTGGCGGACTTCACATGTCTTTCGAAAACTTGCTAAGTTCTCTCAGACATGCAGGTTTCCTCACGATGTTTTCCTTCACCGTAAGGCAAGTGGTAATCATGTTAGAAATGATTCGCACATGAAAATATCAGAGGTGCGAGACCCGGGATTTGAACCTGCTTCACTCGGTTTCCCAAGCGATCGCGTTACCACTGGGCTACCACTGCCTCTGGGCTACCACTGCCTACTGGGCTACCACTGCCTCAGCATTATGTACCCGAGATAAATAGTAAATAACCGATAAAAACGGATAGATCTGACACTCAAGCTAGAAAAATATTACAATTTCTTTCTAAGAGCTACCACAAAGTTATCCCATAACAACGCGCTTGCAAGTTCTATTCTTTTATCAAATGTAAGCAATTCAGAATATCGTTGTGATTAAGAGAGGTAAAATTAAACCGCTTTGTTTAAGTCAAGTGTACTTTTTATTACTCAAGCACGTTTTGAGGTCGCAACGATGTACCGCATAATAAATCTTTAGTTCATTTTGCGGCTTTAACGCTGAAATTTTATATATTTTACTACAATCCTATTAATATTATAAATGTAAAAGTTTGTGAAGATGTATGAATGTCTGGATGTCTAGCTATTACATAGGCTACTTTTTATTCCGGAAAAATATACGGTTTCCGTGGGATAGATTTGTTTTTGTTTTTATGGAGGTGAACCTATCCTTTTGTTGTATTTACACATTGAAAAATTGTACAGTACGCGTTCGAAATGAAACATAATTTTATAGAATATCTTATAAAAAAAGATTACGCTTTAATTATATATTATAACGTATATACCAAGAGAATGGCAGGAAGGAATGCAATATTTTTGTCAATGTTCTAACAATAAGTATCCAAATGACATAATAGCAGGAATAACTTAAATACGGGAAATCTTTATCATAAGCAAATAGAAACAAATCTTCACTACACAAACAAACGTACACTACAATAATATTATGGTGAATCAGAGATTAAGGTTACGAGGGCATATGAAGAGCTCGACTTGGCTTAACGTTGCCAAAATATCTAGGAACAACGACAAGAACAAAGCAATAAAGTCATTTTAACTTGGCTAATATCCAAGTATACCAAATTTGGGAATCCATTTATAGAGACAAAATTGTGATATGAATATTCATAGCCTAAATTTGAAATGACTATTTCCATAGCCACAATGTAGCTAATGATAATTGCCTCGGTAGACTAGTACCGAGCATGTACGGTTGCAGATATTGAGGTCCTGGATTCGAGTCCCGGGTCGAACCAAGTTTAATTACTGAGATTTTCTGTTAAGATATTCTCAGTAGTAGCCCGGAGTTGGGAAGTTGTTGGCGATCTTGCACCCCCGTGCCTCGATAGCACGTAAATCCAATTGGTCCTGCGCCTTAACTCTCACCGGTCGTGTCGAAGTATCGTCTCATCGGACATTGAGAGTAACACAGGTACACAACAACAACAACAGTAACAGATATAGAGAATAGACTTGTATCTGCGCGCACACTTGTGCACTATAATATCTCATGCGCAGATGGCTAGTCTCAGTGAGATTGGCCGCCGTGGCCGAAATTAGTCAGGAGGACATTATTGATAATAATATAAATGGGTTCATTTAAGTCTGCATAAAAAAGATTTTTTGAAAATTTGTATAATATAATGAACATTAATATAAATTGCTTATTTATTATGATTACAGGTGACAATGACAGCAAGACATTATAGGCACTGCTAATACGTGACGTTAGTGCAATTTAGTACGAGGCTTTTAGCAACCATTTCGATATCCCTGTATCCATATCATAAAGTACTGGGCTCTACACAGTCTTTTTTGTTAAGCAGAAAGCAGAACGTCAAATGACTAAGGTTCACTAAGTTTTGTGTGTCCGACCAGCTAGGTAATAAATATAATAAGTTTGATGTGGGAAATCAGACTTTTATAATAACTTGTAGGTAAAGCTTACTTTCCCATTTATTCAGATTTTTTTATTTTTTCACATTAGGATATTTATTAAAAAACTGCTTCTATAGAATATACTGCATTTAAGTCCGCATTATTTACGTAATAGCGATAGAAAACGTTCGTGACTGTATCGCGTGCTTGCTTTGCATGAAGACTGTTTTACTAAAAAGCACTTTACTACTGTAATCATAAAACTCATTTCATCGAGGTCAATGTAGCTAAAATTCGCAAATAAAGTCATATTCTTTATAAAATGATCATTATTGACATGTGAAAGAAACATTAATAAATATTACATAGTACTTATATGTACGAGCATGTCGCATATGATTGTAAGCATTCGTTTCTCATATTAGTCTTGTAATTAGAACTGGCTTTGAATTCCGTATTCCTTTGAAAGCTCTATAAAAAATATTGAATTAACGTAATTATGGATATTGTTACACGTTGATCCGAACAGGTAGATTAAATATATATTTGTAATAAAAATATTCTAATTGGAATAAAAATTTAGTTATACGATCTTAGTCGATAAGAATATAAAGAAAGTCAGTGCGCTTTCGCCTTTTTATAACATAATTTTCTACAATATTGTAAATACAAAGTATACCTAAAAAGATTTTTTCTGTTTCAATAAAAAAACGTGTGTGTGTAAACTTATGTACGCACGTAAGAAGTTATACTTCCTCCAGCTATCATCCCGTATGTCACATCTCTCCGTTTGTAAAAGGAATGCAGCTAGCTTCGTCATGTCGCTTTTTGGCGGTCGGTGTGCGCGCATATCGTAAAAATTTTTCTCTCATAATTTTTCCAAGTGTGCCAAAAGAAATATAACTTCAAAAAAAGGCTCAAATTATAAGTAAAGTTATAAATACTAAAAATCTATTTCTAAAACTAGTAACACAGTATCTAAAGTTACTTACAGCATTGCTAACATTGATGTCGACGCCTTGCTCCAACAAACTGATGATCTTCTCAATTTGCCCCGCGCGCGCCGCACGCAGGAACGCGGTACTGGCGTCCGCCTGTCGACAAAGATATTAATATTAAGCATTGAAAGAAAATCGATGGTCCTAGCGCAGTGGAAGCTTTCTGGTGTAGCCTTTGTTACTCATACTGTGTACATTTTATTCGTTTCTCGTATGTTCGTTAGGCTCAGATTGCAGTGACCCTACTTGCTATGCCAGCGGTCGCGAATTCGAGTCACGCTGGGGGCATTCATTTATGTGCGGAGCACGAATTTTTGTACTCTATTACTCTACTACATGTATTTAAAGTTATATATATGTAGTGTATCAACTATCTATTATCCATAACACAAGCCTCTTAGCTTACCATGGAACCAGATGGTGCTGTGTGTTAATGTCCCAACATATTTATTTATTTAAATATAGTTTTTCTGATTACGTATCCAATTATTTACTTAATATTCATTTGACTTTAAGTTTAGCTAAATACAAATATAATAATAATATCAGCAAACTGAAATAAAAACTACTTAAAGTTTATATGATCCTCATTAATCAATAAAAACATGATGGTGTACTGTGTATAATATCCATCATTGTGTATCCACCTAGTGTAGTCGTAGAGTGTGTAATTAATAGAGGTCGTATACTGTAGAACACAGACTTGATTTACAATTATTAGAGACTGATTTTTAAAGTTTATATGTATGTAATTTTACCTATACTTATATTATAAAAAGGTAAAGTTTGTGAGATTGTGAGTTTGTGACGTTGTAGGGGGTAATCTCTGTATCTACTGAACCAATTTAGATGAAATTTGGTAAGAAGATAGTTTGAAACCCTGGAAAGGACAAAGGATACTTTTTTCCCTTAAGGGGTTGAAATTGGGGATGAAAGTTTGTATGGGGAATAAAGCTAGGGACGAACACGAGCAAAGCGAGGGTGAGTCGCTAGTATTGTTATAACTGTAATTTAATTTAAACAACAAAACTTATTAAAACAACGTAATGTATAACGTAGTAAAAAAACGAATTTGCGACTATTGTTGCATAGGCTGGAAAGATCATGAAAATAAGAAAAAAAAAAATTAAATATATTGAATATAATAATATTGTTCTTTCTATTCCAAAGCTCTTATGATGTCAATTCCACAGGCGCTAGACATATGAGTAAATAGTGTCATGTGGAGGCATATTTATTGAGAGAAAATAATCCGGCTTTTGTTACAAAGTCCTATTCAAAGTAAAAGGAGTAAACACATACCATACTTAGTGAAAAGCAAGCAAATATTAAAAGGACAAGGTTGTGTAATTAAAACACTAAGCTCCTTTGATGTCAATAGCATGACTCGCTTTTAAGAAAAATTGAAAAAGCGAGGGTGGTCGCCAAACATTGCTTGAAAATGTTTCGTTACACGTTTTCTTGAATTTAAACGAAAATACTAAATGAGTACTTAAAAACTAAAATATAAATAATAAAATATTAAATATAAATTATAAAATACTCAAAATTGAAATTATATGGTTTTTTGTTAAATATTATTTTTAGTACTTCATTTTTTAATATTTAGGGTTGCCACTAAACACAAAAATGTTATGTATGGTTATACTCGCACTCTTCTTGCCAAAGGTTTGAAGCATGTTGTGTTTCATAACAACTCCCATTAGGCTTCCTCGTCGGGGAAACCTCCTCCGAAATTCCTCTACAAGTGAAAACACTGTATACGACTTTGTCGACTACAACTATATATTTTGTGGTAAATTTATATCGATATGATGAAATGTACATGAATTTTCGAAACTGAAACGAATAAATGTGTTCTTCCCCTAACCTCTTCTATCTACTATGTCTACCTATAAAGATATTAGATAGTGGGATGTAACTGTGGTCAAAAATTGTTTATTTTATTTGGCAGTTTTGACAGTTGAGATATTTTTCCGCATTAAAAAGTATCATAAATTTTGACCCGGATAACCAGCTATCGTCATACCAAATTTCAATCATCTTGCGGTTAATTTCTACGAAATTAATTGCTAACCGAGCCACCTGTGGCTCGGTGGTCGTTGACAGGTTAAAATCTGTCCAGTAGTTTTCTCGTGATGCGATTCCAGACAGACAAACAAAAATTCTAAAAACTATAGATTGGGCCTCTGTATCGATAATAATGACTATTTCAATAAGATTTTCCAAAAAATATTTAATGTACAGATTCGGCTCAGAGTTTTATTATGTATATGTATGTATCCTAACTAGCGACTCACCCTCGCTTCGCTCGCGTTCGTCCCTAGGTACGTTTTCAATTAAAATGGATATAGTATGTTATCCTTAAGAGATAAACATATATCATCGCGGATTTTTCTGTAGACCTGTATAAGATACACAATTCCACCATACATTATTTTGTTATATCTCAAAGGGTTTAGGCAGTGTTTTCGTTGAAAGCTCCCAGACGGCTTATTTTTTTCCGACACCTCCAACAGATATCGTTATATTTTAGCCAATGTTACAAAAACTTAACAAATTATATGCTAAAAATTTCCTTTTAAATCACTCTATCTATTAAAAAACCGTATCAAAATCCGTTGCCTAGTTTTAAAGATCTAAGCATACATAGGGACAGACAGACAGCGGGAAGCGACTTTATTATACACTATGTAGTGATAAAAACTTTTGATGGCCATGTTCCGCTCAATAGCATGCATAAATAATATTTTAATGTATGACTTAGGGATATCTTGATTTTTTAACCCATAAACATTTTATTACAAGAAATCATGTCGATAAGTTATTTACTAAAATTTTCTTTTCTCTTCATGAAAAACATGCATTAATTAAAATATAATATGCTTAATTCATTAAAATAAAATAAAAAAGACATTAAAATAAGTTATGTAAATATAAAAAAACGGTTTTTTTCAAAGGAATTTCTTTTTAAAGATGTTATTTTCTAAATATTAACAAGTGACAATCTAGATATACCTATCTCTCTGCTCTTATAGTCCAAGTGATTTTAAGTGCAACACTTTTTGAGATTTATCAAAGAGGGCTTATACAAAGAGTGTCCCCTATACAAGAAACAAATGATTAAAGATGCTTAAAGAGGATCTGTAGGACTTATATCTTGGATTTTTTATTCAATACCAAGTTATATAAAAACTCTGTAAATCTATTTTATTCATGCAAGCAGAGCTGCGGGCATACATCATTTGTCTAATCTCGCTGACAAATCGGTTTTATTTTTCTAGCTACTATTTCACCCTCTATTGGGGTGTCAAAGTCAATACAACATTTTTTTTAGTTAACATTAAAATATTAATCTAAATTACGAAGGGTCACTAAATATCACGTCACGCATTTTTGGGATATTGATCAATCATTACACGAGTGTGGAATACAGTAACTAACAAAATTTTAAATTTTATTCGCATTTATTTAGTACTAGCGACTCACCCTCACTCCACTCGGGTTTGTTACTAGTTACTTTTTAACGTTTAGATATTTGTTTAGATATTTAGAATTTCTAAGACATAAAATATTTTCCCGCAGCAAAAAGTATCCTTTATGTTAACCCGGATAACAGTTAGCATCATACTAAATTTCATCAAAATGTGTCCAGCGGTTTTCTCGTGAGGTAGCAGACAGACAGATAGACAGACAAACAAAAATATGAGATACTATAATACGAGATACTTTCTATAATAATATTATAAAGAGGCAATGTTTGTATATTTGTTTGATTGAACGCGCTAATCTCAGGAACTACTAAACCTATTTGAAAAATTCTTTTTGCATTAGATAGCCTGTTGAGAAAGGTCTATATATCATATAGTACATAATCTGTCTTTTCCATATTAACCGTTAAAACGTGTCTAGGAACGAACCTAAGCGAAACGAGGGTGAGCCGCTAGTATCTTATAATATTCATCAGAGAAGATAATTAGTCAAATCATAAACAATAATAAAATCTTCATATAAACTTATTTACAAATAACTTTATATTTCGAAAATTTAAACATGTACCAATGAATTTCTAAAGAGGTCCTTTTTAATTGCACGAAAAATTCTTAATGACTACCACTAAAAAGCGAAAAAATATTGAAGCGTATACAGTGTTCTTAAGTTCGTGCATGTTCAGTGAGCAAGACGTACGTAGGGTAGACCACGAGCAATTATTTCAACCCCTCGAGAGTTAGTCACCCCTATAGTAAGGGTAGTGTGATTGCAAATGTGAAAGTTGTGTTTGTAAATAAAAATACTAGATCCTGGCAAAGTTTATATAACTAAGGTTTTATTATATCTTCATCTGAATTCTAATAACATTTACATATTATAAATAAATAAGTATCAGTAAAAAAATATAATATTATATAAGAGGTACCTTCTTATGAAGTATTTTTTATTATTAAAGCTATTAAAAATATTCATATTAATCTCTCCACGACCGCGGACACGCCGGCGTTACAGTTAACAATAGATTTTTTAGAAATTTAATTAATTTCTTAGAAATTTACCTGGAGGTGTTTAATTGATTTTAATAAAGTTATTTAAGCAATAGGAGACAGTTGCATATGTATATTTAAAACGTAATGTTAACTTACACTACTTACTACACTTCTTCTTCTTCTTCTTCTCCCTGCTCATCTCCCAACCACTTGGGGTCGGCGCAGTACATCTTCTGTACTGCTAATAGGATTTGGCAAAAGTTTTACGACCGGCCGCCTGACGTCAACCCTCCTTGGGAATTATCACTGCTTACTACACTATAGGTGACAAATTCTTTAAAAAAAATTCAAAATTATATCTTTACTACTTAATTATTCCGATCAAATAAAAAGACTAAGGCTCTACGTTAAGTTAATACTGCAATATAATAGAGTATGAATATTAATAGGTAAAGGACTATTGAAACAGTCACTAGTTATGTCTGTCTTTAGCGAAAAATTATATGGCGACGTTAAAATGAATCTTCAGCATTGCTGACCAATATAAGTTTTTTTATTATTTAAGTTTTATATTGACAAACGTTTGGGCCAGTTTGTAACGACTCTACTTGCTGT